ACATATGATTCTATTTTTTTAAAAACATATTCATTAAACAAATTAAAGTGATGCATATACTAGTGATAAAATTCAATTTCAGGATACAGATGCTTCTCTGGGGAAAAAAAATACAGAACTAGTAGACTGCAATGTTGCAAAACGCAGCAAAAGATGATATACAAGCAGCTGTAGAAATTCTACCAATGGAGCATGCACAATGGGAAGGTAGTGACTGTCAGAAGGAGTCAGTCCCCATGTTATGTGAACGTTTCTGTAACTTCTTGATCCTTGAAGTATTTTTTTTTAACATCTGAATGTTTTTTTACTGTTAAGTACTAAGTAGGTCTTCTTTCTGTAGTTCTTAACTCTTTGAGTCCTAGGGTTGTTTCTTAAACTTTTTATAGTCTAAGATGCTATACTTGAAAGCATTAAATGTTAAGGTATGAAGGAGTTAACATGATATAGAGAGGGGTAAACTTACAAATAAGAGTTAGTATTTATCTGTTATAGATGAATGCAAGAACAGAATTCTGCCACTTGGGTGATTAAAAAATTTATACTGAGTTCCTCGGTACCCAACAAATTAAAATTATATAAGATCTTTAATACGGCTACTCGTTAAAAGTCAGTAAAGTACCCTTTTCACTCCGAATTGCATCAGGTATTATAGTGCTAGAGCCATATTATTTACAGCCCAATCGGTATTTGATGAATGGCGAATATCATCTCAGCAACCTTTACATCCGAGAACATTTATCCTGGTTCCTAGTTTAAGCTGAGTCAACTTGGGAGCCCAAGTCAATATTAGAAAAACAAAATCATCTTCATGTTTATTTAAACTCACAATCACTAGTCCGCTAGACAAGCAGCTGGCCACTGTACCTCTCTACGCAGGTTACTATTTACAACTCAAAGACCTCAGGAAATGCCATTATGGTAAATAAATAGTACACTAGAAGTTGCTTATCTAGGCCTTCCTGGATTTGTTCCATCTGTGGGTGGCTCAGAGGTTTTTAATATTACACACATATAATTCTAGATCTAGACTGACCCAACCTAAAATTGATACGAGGTAATGTCATGAAAAGTTAAAAAGAAGATGACGATCTATCACTTGCAGAGTGCCGACTGGTCTAACAAAATACAAGATCCGATAATTAAGTAATGAGACCGATTTATTATGGCTAAGACAGAAATGCCATCTATGAATCACAGCATGGAATCCAAAGAGGCAAGCTTTGTCTATGATCTGGCAACATTTTATTGCCCCCTGATAAGCAGTCGCTTATGGGAATAATTGTTTATCTCATGCACAGATTTTCAGATTTTTTTTATTCAAAAGTGGTACGGAAATGATTACTAATGTAAACTAGACCTGGACGCACAATTTCTGTTCGTAATGAGGAACTCATTGCAAAATTCCGAGAACGGATATAAGATGATTGTTATTCAACTGTTAGGATGATGGTTGATGAATTTGGTGTCAATACAGAGACTTTTTGTAAAATTTTAGTGGAAGATTTGGGCAAGAAAAAAAATTGCTTGCTGGTTTCTGTTCAACACATAGCAATTTGTTTTTTCTTCATGACAATGCACTGGCTCAAAGGGGGGTAGTTGTACAGGAATTTTTGGCCCTAAAACAAGTGCATGTTCTTAACCATCTACCCTATTCCCCTGGATTTGTCTCCCTGTGATTATTTTCTGTTCCGAAAATTATAGTTGTCATTGAAAGGATGCTTTTTTGTCGATACTGATGACACCCAAGGGGCCGTAACATCGACTTTAAGGGCCATAACGACAGAAGAACTACAGAGGTTGTTCCAGTGTTTGTTAGATCGTGTCACTTGCTGCATCAATGCACGAGGGGCTTACTTTGAATAAAATACAGGTTACATCTTCAACTATTGATTATTTTAATTGTTATGGAATTAGTCTCATTACTTAACTGTCGGACCTTGCATAAGTCTAGCATTATATGCCCTATACGCCTAAAGCTTTGGAAAAAGGTCCTGTACTTACTATATCCCTGATATGCCCAAGGTGTGTATAGTGTCATTTGCTTTACTTATTTCTCTATGCTTCTAGATTCCTCTTGAACCATGACATACTCAGTCGTAACTTTTGAAAAACACAAGTACATTACCAAATGCTTTTGGAAAAGTTTTATCAATTTTGACAAAATCAAACAAAATTAACATTTGTTAATGGGAAGACAAATGTGTGACTACTTTTCAGAAACAAAACAAAATTAACAGTTTGTAGAAAGATATCAACCACTTTAAGAAACACAACTAAATTAATATTTGCTTTTGAAAAAGCGTCAACTATTTGAGAAACAAAACTAAGTTCATATTTACTGATGATAAAGTAGTTTTGTGACACAAAACTGGATTAACATCTGCTTACGGAGAATTGAAATAAGTTATTCTGGTACATCATTATGTACTTTCACAACATCAATGGAATTAATCCAGCAAAGATAAAATAATGCTAACAGATCCATTATCTCATGCTTTCCCCGCCATCTCAAAATGATGAGTCATATTTCTGTGCTATAATTTGTAATTCAGAGTTATATATCCTGTCTCAACCTCATTCAGTCTATACGTAGGGGTAAAAAATCAATGATTCAAGCCTTCTCCACAATTATACAATCGCAAGAACTACAACACTGAGCATCCCCCCATACCATGTGGATTCTGGGGCCCAATTTTTTTGGGGGGTAGGGGAGATAATAGACCCACTGTCCCACAAAAAGCATGTCGTAAAAGGTGACTATTTAACAGTTTGCTGAAATCAGATGTGTCGAGCCAAAAATGGCAGACATCGCAGCCGAGCTGTAAATCACAAAACAACGTGCCAACTGCCTTGTACAAGGATACAGAAGAAAATACACCATTCAGAGCAGCACAATATGAGTGCCGTGCAAGAGCTCACAGCCTCTTCAGCAACCAATACACAACACTCAGAAACATACTTAGGAGAAGATCGGAGCACTTTTGGATATGCCTGATTTGCAATGAAGACAATATTGAAATTAACAATGAACCACCAGTTCACAAAGAAAGTCTCCATCAAGGTCATCCAAGTGACTTCAACACTATCATGCGGGTAAAGTGTAAAGTGTGGCCTGATGTAGTTTATAAATTTCATACAACTCCTACAGAAGTCTTTCCCCCTTTAGTGATGAGTAGACAGATTTAAGGGCTCTGTGATATCTTTTAAAGCGTGCCTAAAAGTCTCTCGTTCTCTAGCCAAATCTCCAGCCCTGTGTGATTACACAGCAATCTTCAATGTCATGTATACACCTCTGTGGAGTTTGGCCTCTGCCTCGTTTTCCCGCAAACTGCACTTTTCATCAACGGTCTGTCCAGATCACCATGGCGCTTGACCAGTTCAAAATACCAATCAAATACCTACCACTGTCATTAACATAAAAAAAAAAAAAAAACTTGAAAATGCAATCCTGTTTGCAATTTTAATTATAAATTATATAAAGTTCTACAAGTATAGAGTCCATAGCTGATCTTTAAAAACAAGAGAGGTCGGTGGTTTTAGCTGTCTGGAAGCCACTGCCCAAAAGGTTTCTATCATGTCTGTTTCTGCTGTTATCTAACTGCCTATGACATCCGGGCTTTACACGTTCCCCACCCTTTGTTTTTCAAGTAAAATAATGACAAAAAGTGTAATAAGTGCAGAAAACAGAAGTGAAGATAACATGTTACAACATTAAAAAAATTTTTATAAGTGCAGTAAAAATAAAAAATGAAGGGAAATTGTTAAAACATTTTAAATAATGTATTTGTGAAAGTAATAAAAGAAAATTAACAAATGTGAAAGAAAAAACTAAATAAAAAAAGTTAAGAGAATACATTTTAATATGTAATACAACATGTATTCTGAAAGTAATTAAAACAGAGCACAAATGGTAAAACGAAATCATAAAAAGCTTTGATGATGGCGAAGCACTTTAAAAAAATAGTAGTAATGTGACTCCTAACTGCATCTCTTGCCATTTGTCAAATTAAGAAACAAAAGTGTGTGAATAAGATGACCCCAAAGGTAGATAATTTACAAGAAGAGTTCAAAATGTCTTTCTTTTTAAAACAATGTATATAGTCTTAATAAAGAAAAAGAAAATGGTGCAAACATAATGAAGAGGATCTAAACTGGAAATAAAATTACAAAGAAACATTACAGAAAAGGAACTGGTTGGGGAAAAAACTAAACGAAAGAAATTTAAAAAAAAAATCACTGTAAAAGAAATTTTATAAAAACATTACTGTGACCAAACTCTCCTTCCTTACTAAATAAAAAAAGAACATTAACCGCTATGCAGGTCAAACTGAATTTTTTTTTTTTTTAATGGGCATATGATGCTAAACTCATATTTTAAATAGATCAATCGGCGCGTGATGGGGGTCAACATCATGCCATCATCTGAACCTCCGAAGGCAATATCTGGTACCCATTTTATGCTGGGTAAACCTAGAAGTGACAATAACTTTTGACTGGAATTCAAGACCTTTAGGCCGATACTGATGAGTGGGTCAGTGATTTATGGAAGAACAATAAATGTTTATGTTTACAGCTGAGTGGCACCTGTGGAACTTCAGCTGAAACTGCTGTGTCCATGAACTAATAAGAGAGACTGCTATGTTGTTTTACTGCTAATAGTGCATAACACAACATACAGATTAAATGAAACATTCAAACACTTTAAACTTAATAATCAAATTTCATGGGTGGGGAGGTGAATTAGGAAATGAACTAATTTCTATGCTATTCTGGCATGATTTTTAGAAAACTGGGTCAATCATGGTGGCTATATGGCTACAAAAAATATCCCACTTTGAGATAGATTTAAACCAGAAGTCTTCAGCTGCAACATCCAAAGAGACATGAACAATCTTACACTGAGCTTTGTGTGAGCTGTTTGAAAGCAATTGATTAACTGGGAGATGAAAGCTGAAAAAGAGGAAGAAAACTAGATAACATTCAGAAGAAGATGTATGGATTTACTGTGAGGTTCCTCCGATGTTTAATGACTTCAGGATTCCGAAAGGATCAATTTCTACTTCTGCTCCTGGGGTGACGAAACCTTTTGGAGTGCGGGGTGTCTGGATTTCCAGCTGGGCTGCATCTTCTACTGTGACTGTTCGTCTCTGGTCATTCTGGGTAATCATTCGAGGATAAGACGGATGGTAATCTTCTGCAGATGGTGGTGTTGAGGAGGATGAAGCTTCGTTGGCTTCAATAACTTGTTGATGCTGAAGTTTCTCAGCCATGCTCATTTTCAGTTTCAAAGCTGACCTGCGGTCTCCTCTTATGACTGATGACTCCCCTTCTGCTAGATCTTCGTCATTGTTGTCATCAATCATTTGAATCATGGTTGTGATGACCGTTGGAGTTGGCAAACCATCACTGTACTGGCGACTGAATCCAGTTCGCAACCTCAGGTTTGGTGTTTTACGTCGGGTATTCAGCCGTGTAGTCTCATTATTGTTGTTGTATCTTAAATCTGGGGCATTAGCTGGACTGCTTAATGACATCTGTTTGGCTGGGTGGTCTGCAGAGGTCACAGGAGGTGAAGCAGACAGTGATCTTTCACCACTGGAACGGACATCTTCAGCAGAGCTGCTGCCATGTGCAAACTGACTTGGACTATAGGACTGCTGTCTAGAGTGTTTATCATCTCCAGGCAGTACCTGCTCTCTGGCATAGTCTGCAGGGCTAAATGATCTTGCGGACAGTCGATCTCCAGAGCCAGACCTCTCACTAGTGTAATTGGCTGGGCTGTAAGACCTGTTGGACATAGCTGCAATTCTTTCATCTGCCCGCACATTTGGAGATCCATGAGAAAGATTCACGGGTGGACTTCCAGCACTGCTTCCTGATGCCTCAGGTGATGAGTTTCCTGGTTTCCCCAGCAGATGAGATGGGACATGTTTAACATTTGGTAGCAACTGAATTCCAGAGCCAGGTGAATCTGTAAATCTGGCACTCCCGCTACTGTCGGCTGTATCCGATCTCTCTCTGGTTGGTCGGCTTTCTTGATAGGCTATGTGACTGCCTAATGAATGTGGTAAATGGTTGCTCTGTTGTAATGTAGTGTGCATATGGAAGGGAGTAAATCCTGTACCCTGGTGATATGGCATTCCACCATAGGCTGTCACAGGGGCCCGGAAGGCTTGAGGTTGAAATTGAGCAGGTGTAGTCATGTATGGGTAGATGCCCGTTTGAGGAGCAGCAAAAGCTAAGGCTCTAGGATCTTCTGTTGGGTGGTAAAAGTAACTACCTGGTGGCTGATGAGGCTGCAACAGAGATGAGTAACCCTGAGGCATTGCTGGAAAACTCTGCATGCGCTGTGGTGGGTAGTACATATGTCTTCCACCAGGGTGCTGGTGTCTGATTCCTCTACTACTTGGCATCTCCACCGTACGGGGTATACCTTCTTTTATGGGACCTGCACCTCGGGCATAAGAAAATGCTCCTCCTGGAGGGATGAAACGACTATACATCTGCTTGGATGGAAAGATTCCCCTATTAAAAGACTGCTGGTAGTACATGGCTGGAACCAGCCCTGGGTTGTAGGGGTAGAAAACAGGAGGCTGAAACATTGGTGGAAACACCTGTAAAGAAAAAAAAGTCGTCACAATTATGTTTTATAAAATAATAAGTTTAAAAAGCCACTGGGTAACTTTTGAAAACAAACTGATATGATTATATATTTTAAAAGAAGCAGAAAATGTAATTCACAGTTAAATGAATATAACTGAGAATATAACTTCACATTTTTTTGTAAATACTATAAAGATAAGCTTGCCAGCCAACCAACAAAACAGTCACCAGCCAACCTATCTGCCTAGGTATCTATCCTATGTTATGTGTATTATTATGGCACTGAAATTATCTTTCGGAAAATGCCCAATACATGGTTCAATAGAAAGTAGTTATTGTAATATTCATATATTACTTGGTAGACTACAGTTATATGTCATCATCACTATCAAGTGCCTTGCTAGCTGGCGTAGGCAATCATGCATTTCCTCAGATCTCGGCCTTTTGTGTTCTGGATCAATTCCACTGTTGATATTCCCTTATGCCACTGTCTTAAGCCACCCACCATCATTTCTCTTGGTCTGGCTCTGCTCTTCTACCAGTGATCTTTCAGGTTGTCATACTTTCCAGAACTCCTTTTCTCATCACATGACCAAAGAACTTTGTCTTCTTCTCATTGTTGTAACTTTCAACAGCCATTTCCAGGTGCAACTGTTAGTTATTCTGGCAGTCCAAGGTATTCACAACATTCTTCTCAAGAACCACATCTCAGTTGCCTCCAAGCTTTTCTTAATTTGTTTGCCCACATCCCAAGATTCACTGCCACACCACAGAACAGGCTTGATGCAACATTTCAGTACTCGTTTTCTGATGTTTATTGAGAGTGATTTATTACATAATATACTTTTCACTCTCTGAAATGCTGCCTTTGCCTGGCCAATTCTGCTCTTAATTTCTGTCACACATCGTCCACCTGATGTTATCATTGTCATCATGTCTTCATAAACTGCTTCTGTTTTCTTGACATTCAAGGAAGGTCCCTTTTTTGCACTCTCTAGTACCAAAATGTCTAATAGTTGTAGGTCTTCTGGTTTTCAGCTTTTAATACTGTATTATGTGCATAACGAAGAATGTTTATATTACAACCTCCAACTAGTATTCCTGGTTTATCCTTGACCTCGCTCATTATTATTTCTCTACAGAGAAAGAAGAGATCCCGGTGACACAACACATCCTTGCTTTATCTGTTCATAAATGCCTACTTTATTTCCCAATTTAATTGCTCTTCTTGCTTCCGATAAATAATTGTTTATTATTCTGAGATCTTTACCATCAATGTTAATATCTTCCTACAATTTTATCATGTCATCATGTTTCACTTTATCAAAAGCTTTGGTGTAATCTATGAAGCACAAATATATGTCTTTATGTTTCTCCACCGCTTTCTTTACTAATAGTTATGTGTTTTTCTCAAAGTCCATGCCGTGTTGCGTTAATAGTCATGTCTATCCACAACCTTCTGTCTCGTGTACTTTAAATCTACTCAGACACAGATTATCTTCCATGTCTTGATGTCAAACCGTCCAGCATCTGTTTTCTTGGTCTGCCTCTCGTCCCCTCCAACTGCCCTACCCTCATGATGTACTCCAGTTTTTCTCCTCCTCATCACGTAACCAAAGAAAGTGGATTGGCTTGTCTCTTTCTGATGTGGGCAGTCCTGTGCATGTGTATGTGTCTAACATTCACCATCAGTGGTTAGAATTAGCAAGCACCGGTACAGCAAGACAAAAATTCATTAAAACAGTTTTTCAACAGAAAGAGATTAACCCTTTCACCTCAGAAAGATGTCCAAAAATGAAATCTTTCAAAATTTCGGTAAAAAGGCGAGCATCATTAAAATTCTTGGAAACTCTACCTTAAGAAAACAAAGAGTCAAAATACCCCCTTTACGTTGGGAAACGATGATCCCGAGTCTTTTTTTCTGCACAAAAGTGATTGTGTTATATAAAGGGAGGTAATTATTAAATACAAACAGAGCAAATAAATAACTGCTTTTCTAAACTTTGACTAAGAAAACAGGGATTTCGCTGACATAGCCACATACAAATTGATGTCAACATAAAGTTTTCACAATGTCACAATTAAGCAAAATATTTTTTTCAGTCCCCACAAATATTTCAAATTGGGTTGGCTTTTTTTTTTTTTTTGGTTATTGTTGGGGATTAATAACATGAGTATGCACAACTTGAATATGGGCAATTACAGTCAAATGTTTGTGACTTTCAGCTTGTGAATGCAGTTTGCAAAATAGGGATGGTTGGGATTCAAGGAGAAAGATCAACTAGATATCACAGGTTGTTAAGACTAAATAAAAAAATACAAACCTGGGGAAATGGTTGCCCAGAAAACATAGATGGATAGCCAGGCCAGCCCCCAGTGTGAACTCCTGGGTATATGAAGCCATGATCCGGCTGTTGTATGTGGGCGGTGTGGTACACCCGGTTGGGAACAAATTCAGGAGCCAGTGGGTTAAGCACAAAGGATTTGGTTAGTTCAGCTCTGTCCAGCTGCTCTTTGAGAGGATTCCATGAGATGCCATGCAGGCTGTCGTTGTTGTCACAGATCTCGAGGAAATACTCCCAGATTTTCCTGTAAGAGAAGCCATATTATGTCAATGGACATAACACATATTCTATGAAATTCCATACAAATAAAATGGCTACTAGACTTGCCTTGTATACTTACCCGCTCAAGACCTCAGGAAACATACAGGTAATAGCTTAGCCCCATTTTGGGGGACAAACAGAACAGAGCCCCTGCCTCTTACCACCAACAAACATGTCATACAAGTCAACTAATTAGGAGTGTTTGCATCAATGTCTGCCTGCAGGTGTGAAACCAACAGTGTGTTCACAAATAAGTCAGATCTGTAAAATGGATATACACACAAAACTCAAGTTTTGGAACAAGGCCAAAGTCTAGAAGTGGACAAACAACCAGAACTTTTCTGCCGGAGTTTACAGCTGGTGAACATGAAGAATAATATGTGAAGTCCTAAAACTGTATACCCAACTGAAGAATCTACTGTACGTGAATAACTTTACTGATCACTAATAAGAAAAACTCTAAAATAAACATTTAAGACAAAGACCACGGGTGCCATTTTTGAAATGATTGCGCATGATAGACAGGAATGGAGGAATCAACTGCAACTCATATGTGAGGTTATTAAATAAAAGAATGATGATAATTTCTTCTTCTTACACCCTTAAAAGGGCAGCTGGCCCGTTGTGTCATGGTTTATTTATGCAGCAATATCTGCTGTGCCTTTTGGTCCAACACATTCAGTTTCAGCAAAACCTTATTTAGTTGCCGCTTACAACATGCTTGTAAAAGGGACACGGAGTCTACTCCCCCATACCCTTTTTTCCTTACCAATCGAGCCCCGGAACCCAGAAGGGGAGTCGGGGGGAGGGGGTGATGATAATATGAGTGAAGAAAGATATAAAGTGCAAACAAATAGAACCCTATATTTCAACCCACCTGCACTTTCCAACTAGGCACACACTCACTGGATCACCCACAACAACCACTAGTGACTGGGCTCGTGTGATGGCTGTATTGAGCAATTTGATGTTGGACAAGAAGCCAAAGTCCATGTATTCCTCAACATTGGGGTCCGAACGACATGTCAGCCTTGTCCTTGTAATAGATAACATGATTACTCTGTACTGCTTGCCTGCAAATAAAAAAAAAAACATTTAAAAACATTAGATAAATACAAAGTAAATGCATAAATACTCAAAACTGCTTGGGTTGGGAGGATACATTTAATAGCCTTTATTGCATTAGAATTAAAGTCAGAAAAACTCATGACTCCTGTAAGTACTTAAATGGCACAACTAATTTTAAGGTTGAATTGTATTGCTAACTTATGCTTTTGAAACTATAACACTACTGAAATCTGACAAGAATAGTGAAGTGAATAAACAGAGGAAACTATATTTTAAGAATGAATTTTCAGTGAACCCACTGGAGAAACCCTTATTATCTAACATGTATGTGGTATGAGGGAGTCACCGTGGCGCGGAAGGTCGTGGTTTTACACCCTGGTGAAGCCAGACTTTAAAAAAAATGACCTTGGCTCTCAGGTCGACCCAGACGTGAGTGCGTACAGTCCAAGGAAGTAGAGGCGGCTGGCGTGATGCTGACCACATCACCCATCTTGTGCCAATTGGTCTATAAAATATAGGTCTAGCCCTATATGCCTTAAAGGCATGGAAAAGGGTCCTTTATTTTTTACTTATTTTACCTATGTGGTATCAGATGACTTATGCATGTTGGTTTTAAACGTCTGAAATAGGCGACTGCCAGTAATTTATCTCCCCATGTGAGTCCCAGGGACCCAATATTGTGGGAAAAAACAAGATCCACTGCCACCCTACAAGCATTTCATATGGCTGACAACACTCAAAAGATGGACATACAATGGTACAAGGTGGAGTGACTAGGGGATATGGCTGACAATCAACACTCATAGATGGACATACAATGGTGCAACGTGGAGTGACTAGGACATATAGCGGACACTCAACACTCAGAGATGGACATACAATAGTGCAGTGTGGAGTGACTAGGGCATATAGCTGACACTCAACACTCAGAGATTGACATACAATAGTGCAGTGTGGAGTGACTAGGGCATATAGCGGACACTCAACACTTAGAGATGGACATACAATGGAGCAATGGGGAGTGACTAAGGCGTATAGCTAACACTCAACATTAAAGAGATGGACACACAATGGTGCAACGTGGAGTGACTAGGACATATAGCGGACACTCAACACTCAGAGATGGACATACAATAGTGCAGTGTGGAGTGACTAGGGCATATACGGACACTCAACACTCAGAGATGGACATACAATAGTGCAGTGTGGAGTGACTAGGGCATATGGCTGACACTCAACACTCAGAGATAGACATACAATGGTGCAACGTGGAGTGACTAGGGCACATAGCTGACACTCAACACTGAAGAGATGGACATACAATGGAGCAATGGGGAGTGACTAAGGCGTATAGCTAACACTCAACATTAAAGAGATGGACATACAATGGTGCAACGTGGAGTGACTAAGGCATATAGCGGACACTGAACACTGAAGAGATGGTCATACAATGGTGCAACGTGGAGTGACTAGGGCATATTGCTGACACTGAACACTCAGAGACAGACATACAATGGTGCAACGTGGAGTGACTAGGGCATATTGCTGACACTGAACACTCAGAGACAGACATACAGTGGTGCAACGTGGATTGACTAGGGCATATTGCTGACAACACTCAGAGATGGACAAAAAGATCAGACTGCCACTGGTCCCACTTAAACTGGAACTTTGGACTCGCTGCTGAAGATTAGCTTGAGGGCTTATGGGAATATCCTGAGTGCTGTGTTCTCAGTTTTTATTTAACTCGACATATACATGTAAAAATGATAAAATAAAGTCAAGAAAACCATGTAAGATAGAGACAGGACTTACCCTGAATATTAAGAACTCTTTCAACATTCACACCAAACAGTTTCCGTTTCCTCAGCTCTGCTCTAATCCGTGCAACCTATAAAATGAATAAAAGTCTAGTTCACAGTTAAGTGTGGTCGGCTTGGTTAATCTTGCATTCACAAAGAACTGCTTTCCTCTTCTTTGCATTCATTCACACGCTGTAAACTTGGGCGGAAAAATCCTGAGTGTTCATCCCCTTCTGGATTTTAGTCTTGTTCCAAGACTTGAGTGTTGTCTGCACAATATTTTTTTCTTTACAGACCCGGCTAATTTGTATGCACTCTGTTGAGTTTTCTAGTCATAGTTTGTGATGTATTTAGTATTCAGTTAGAAAGACTTTGGTCGAAACGTTCGTATGTGTTTGTGTGTGTCTTTTACATCCCTTTGCTGAGCTTTCTAGTCGCATTTTCTGTTATATTTAGCAATATTTGTATGCTGACTGCTGGTTCCTCACATCTCGGGCAGAAACTCTCCAACCATGAAAGAAACATTCCCACTTATTTGCCGTTTACAAGAGGCTTGTTAGGGTGCAGTAGGTGTATTCTTCCCCTCCCTTACCCCCTCCAAATGGGACCCCAGAATCCATACAGGAAGTTAACCAATCTAATCAGTCAAAAAGGGCCCCTTTTGATGTCATCAGGGACACTGGATATATGGTGGTAGCTCCATGTTTAAGGGAGGTGGTAGTGTAGAGGTCTGAGGCTTGCCTCTGGCTCTAAAGTCTTGGGCTTGAATCTGCTTGGATTTTTTTAATAAATGACCAGCACTCCCGAGTCGATCCAATCTAATTTGGGTACCAGGAAATTTCCTTAGAAGTAAAGGCAGTCAACAGATGCTGACTATATCCTCTATCAAGTGCTCTTCTTCTTAGCGTTCACCATCTGTAAACTCTGGCTGAAGTAGTTCGTCCACTTCTGGTCTTCAGTCTTGATCCAGAACTTGAGTCGTACATGCATATCAATTTTATAGATTTGGCTAATCTGTATAAAGACTGCTGGTTCCTTCCCTCTCAGTGAGAGTAGTATGAGTTTGGAAGAAAACACCTCTAATTAGTCCCCTCCCACTAAATGCTTATTCCTCCCACTAAGTGCTTTTTAGGGTGGCAGTGGGTCTATTCTTTGTTCTCTGCAGCCTCATGTATACAAAATATAAAAATGGTGAATCAGCCATGAGCACATGTGGACTAGCACCTGAGACAACAAACCATGTTTCCAAGACTGTCTCAAATAAAAACATTTCCAGGCAAAACTTCTGGCCAAGAGAGATCTTGGTGGAAGCCAAACTTTACGTGCTAGTAAGTGAATACTAGAGACAGCATTGCAGATTATAGATAGTTTTTTTTTTCAAGCGAACAAAAGAAAAAGATAAGTGCTGATTAACCTACAAAAACACTAGTCTAGTATCACTTGCCTAATGCACCAATGATGTGAGAAGGTCCCTTTACTTTTTACCCACAATATAGCCGAAATCAGGTAAACAATAATTCCAGTGTTTCTGCCCCCCCCCTCCCCCACAAGAGTTTAATCTGGATGGCAGACTAAGTGGGAAAATCCTAGATACTCTGTTCAACCTGCATAAAAGTTATAACCAAAGAACCTGCGATAGCTTCACAAGCCTGGTGTAACCTGCAGTCATTTGCAGGTAAGCATATGTTTTTAATAAGTTCAGGTACAATTATGAACATTTATACAACAGGAACATTTTCCACACAAACACATACCTGATCTGAGTAGGGAGCAACAATGCTGATGCCATTGTTATCAAAAGCACCCCATGCTTCAGGCCACTTCTTCTTCAGTTCATCCACCCGTTCAACTATTTCATAAACCTGAAAAACAATATCAGTGTTCATAAACCTTCAAAAATGTAAAAAAAAAAAAAATATATATACATTTTTGGAACAACTCACAAAGTTGGACCCAGAAAGAGTGACTTTCCTTGCCATTAATCCCTGGCCGTGTCGTAGGGCCTGTCCTATGTTGCTGGGGAGTGTCCAGTGAGCGAGCGTTTTTTAAGCGTTGTATTCATAGGCTGCATGCAGTTATGGGACGTAGGCTGCACTCTCTCATGGGACGTATGCTGAGGCTGTGGCACTGGGGAGTTTGGGTTAGGGCCAGTTCTTCATGTTTTCGGACAATTAAAACCGCTCACATCGTGGAATAAAGACCACACAATATCCCCGGCCGGTGACAACACCACGGCTAAAATAGAAAACGATGTCCATTCACAGGAAGTGAAAACAGCTTCAAATCCACATTTGTTTTCTCAATGGATCCAGGCCTTTTTTAAAAGACCTAGTCTTCCAGGTTGATCCAGCCTAAAATATGGATACCAGGTAATGTCTTGGGAAGTAAAGGCAGCTGGAAAGGCGATGACAACATCACCCATCGAGCGCCAACTGTTAACATAATAAGGTCTAGTACCATATGCCCGATGTACCAAAGGGGTGAACACACTTCGTTACTTCATTTTTACCCATCAAGTGATGGACCACAACAATGCTCCCTAGTATGCTGAAGTGGAAGATGACGATGATGATGATAACAATGACGATCTTCTCACCTCAGACATATTGTAAAATCCAGTGCTGTTTTCATGCTGAATCTCTTCTCCTTTTGCAGCGTAGAAAGTCAGAGGATAAAACTGATCGTGAGCCACAATGTTGCCACTGGAGATGAGTTTATTGTCGTAGAAAAGCTCAGATGTAAAGTCGACAATTGCTGCATGTGCTCTGTAGTTCTCACACAGCATCACCTAGGGGTTGGTAACATGCAGAAACATTTACTGGCGTTAGTTAATGAAATGTGATTACTGAGGAAATGATAAGCAGATGTGCACAAGCAGGCAGGAGATATGACACAACTACCTGCCGATTCTGTTGTTCACCGTCTGTGGCTAAGTGGTTATAAACGTAGCTTATAATTAAAAAATATCTGGTTTGATTCTGCTTTAAGAGACAGAATAGGTTGTTGAATGTTGAGTTAAGAGTCAATATCACAACTCTTAGAAAATACCCATAGGCGCTGTCCCCATCTTCAGCAGCAAGCGCAGATTTTTAATTCTGATGGCCCTACTTAACGTCTGACTGTATATCTGTCTCGCCCTTCCCTTGAATGTTGACCGATGGCCAGATCCCCTGATAACTCCTCGCAGCACCATTCTCCTTAGACCGTGATGATCTATATGTGACCCCGAAAGGACCCTTAAAACACTGATGGCTGATTTCTACAATGGTAAATGGAGCATTGAGCATTCAGAAAGCAATGGCAAACTACTGAGTGTAAAATTGCTAACTAAATGCTGGCCACAAATGCTGTGACTGTTTTACAGCCTCCAGTAAAGGGTATTTGCTTCTTCTTCTTCAGGTTCACTGGCTGCAAACTCTGGCAGCAACTTCTAGTGGTTCATATAATTTTGGATTTTAGTCTGGTTCCATAACCCGAGTTTTACCTTCACATCAATTTCACAGATCTGCCTTATTTGTGTGCAGACTGCTGGTTCCTCACCTCTCAGGCTGATGCACTCTGTCTTCGAAGGAAACATACCTAACTAGTAGACTTTTACAACATTTTTGTCTCTGCTTTTTAGACTTAATAGTTATTTTGGGGAAATGTATGTGATGGCTTTTCCTGACCTCATACATGCACATAATAGATAGCTTTTATATAGTTTAAAGTTTAAAGACAATCGCTGCATAATTATTACCACTGTGTCACTGGAACCCTTAAGAAAAGTAAAGAACAGTACCAACTGAAAAAAAAGAGCTTGTTGTGACTCCTTTACGGGAATTTTAGAACCAACTCCAGCATTTTGTAGAAGGCTGAAAAACATAAATATATACACTAACTGAAAGCCCAATACATGTTATTTTTCTGTTGGCAACCACAGGGTAAAAGACATAGTTGTAGAACAAAATCTAGAAGCAGTGTACAAAACAGATTAAAAAATTAATCAAATATTAATGGGCTTGGAATAAGTTGATTTAGAAAAGCTATGAAGCTGCAGAAGACAAAAATATATTCTTATTTTAATTACCTTGTAAACACACTCCCTTGGGTAAAGTTCATGCAGTCGTTCCAAAAGTGATGTATGGAATCCTTGCTGCCTTGCAAAATCACAGTAAACTTCTGGACTCATCTGTCATGCACGCAAATATTACAGCTATTAGGTTAACATTTTCCCTGAATATTATATAATTCACTTAATGTCAACTGAATAAAAGAAAAATGAGACATCAGTTGTAATTAATCAAACTGGTGCCTGCACAGAATAGAGGGAATTAAATGGTATGATAGAATCACTAATGCAGAGCTTTGGGAGAGAACTAAGCAAGCTTCAGTAGACCAAGAGGTGAAGAAAAGACTCTGGTGTTGGATAAGACACATATTTAGAAAACCGGAGAACAAAATAACTAGAATGTCTTTGCATTTGAACCCACAGGGGCATAGGAATAAAGGAAGGCCAAAAAACACATGGTAAAAGGAGCTGGAGAATGAAGTTAAAAGATGAGGGGAGCTGCATGCGATAGCAAAGGATAGAATGACTTGACGTGAGTTTGTTGAGGGCCTCTGCTCCACTGGGGGCTAGAAAGAAGCATTATTCTCTCAAGGCCATAATAATCTTGTTTCTCTTCTGACTTCGTTACATATTCCGAAAGGGCCTTGACCACATCTGCCTTGTCAAGTATCAATTCACCACCCAGTGGTACAGATCCAGCCAATCTGTCTGCCTGTTGATTCCCCACCACGCCTGCATGGCCTGGAGACAAGATCCAAAGGGGTATTTTTGAGACAGTATTTTCTTTTCAGCGCTACTCTAATAGACACTTTGTGGTGCATACCAGCCCTTTTTTCTAGAGAAAAGTTATCCCTTGTACCGGCACCTTTTTATTTTTTCTAGAGAAAAGTTATCGCTTGTACATGTACTTTTTCTTTTTTCTAGAAAAAGTCGCTCATGACACCCATAAACAACTCCAGATTGACATACCTGCATATGGTCTCCAGCAAATACAATCCTTGTGCTCTCATGCACCATAGACAAAGGAATGATGGTCTCACTTTCCAATGCTTGGGCTGCTTCATCGATAAACACATGGCTAAAGATATCTGTTTAAAGAGGATAAGGAACAAACAATGAAGTGAAAACAGGTTCCATAAATTGCCATTTTTATTTTTAGACACTAAATTTCAGTTCGAAAAAAAAAAAACAGTATTAGAAAAGAGCCGGCCCTTTTCGTGCAAATAAGCCATATGGTGATGACCCTGTATGTTCAAAGACCAAGCTAGTCTGATGAATAATGACCAATCTCAAACACTAAGTGATTACACCAGAAAAAAGCTTGCAAATGCCATCTCAAGGTCAAGTGAGAAAACGTAACAAACTTTCCATGCGAACAATCAGTAAAGGTATTTTGAGTAGGTTTGCTGCTGCATCTGAGAATCACATAGAAATGCCAAAGGTGCAGCGATGCTGACTGTGATAACACAGACTTGACAAATATTTTTTAAAAGTAAAAAAAAAAAAAACAACAAGACTAATCCAAGGTGATGATGTCAATATCACACCACCGGCTTATACTTTACAGGACATATCCTGGTACCAATTTTAAGCCAGGTCAAGTTGGGAAAAAAAGTGTGGACAGTCCATGACATCCAACCTCCCTTCGCAGGTGCTCATCCAGTAACTCTTGTCTGTTAAAAATTTGATTATATTACTACGCATGGAAAATCAGTCCATGATTTTAAAAACTACTCTGATGTGTATCTGAAACCATGAAAAACAGGCAAGCAGGCTAAGCACTGCACCACTATGGCTCAATCTCTAAATATAAATTAATATAAATAAATTAAAGAAAACTGAAGTAAAAAAAAGCAAAAGAATCAAGATACTTTGGTTATAAAAAAGAGATGATGCAAAAAAAAAAAAAAAAAGTTACAAGAGGAATGCCACACTACATGCAGAGTACACCAAAGAGATTGACAGGAAAAAGCTTAACAGGCATGTCATAAAAGAAAACTAACAGACACCTAATTAAAGGCCTGCTTCACATGTGCTGGGCCGAAAACTGCAAATATCAGGGCCTATCTGTATACCACAATGCAAAGTGAACTTACTTTTTAAGGGTGGAAAAAAAAAAGATGATATATTAATCTTTATAAAGTAGGATACCTAGCTTCTATTTTTACTGCCTTTCCTTCATATGCGATTCCCATAAAATTATGAAAATGGCTTAGTGCCTATTTTATGAGGGTAAATTAATCCAAGAGTGCCTATGTTTTCCTCTCAGAGAGACACAAACATACATAAACATGGGCACTCAAGACATTTGCCTCATGCTCTGAAGTGAGTGGGTTCATTTCACAGACATTTAACTCGGACTAGAATGGGTTGACAACATCCAGAAGTCCTGGGATGAAAGAGCCAAGAGACTGGCCATGTCTTCCCTAGTCAGTGGATGAAGATATACTGAATGTGCTGCATTCAAGAGTCTTTGAATAAAGAATTTAAAGGCAATGAACTGCCTTTTGGAAATGGGTATTAAACAAGGACAAGCAAAAAATGGGTATTAAACACGGACAAGCATGCAGAAACAATTTGTGGGGCAAAGATAGGAGATATGCCAGTCAACTCCTACTGTGTAAACTGAGCATGGAGTCAGTGAGATAGCTGATGCATCGGAGGGCAGAGTGTGAATGGGTCAGACGAATGTCCTAGGATGTTGATATACATTCCTTCACAGACGTCATTTATTCAGGAGTTATTTTGGAGATACATGGGATCATTGATGGAGCATATTGAAGTGGAGATAGGCATGCTCCTTGCAGAGTGGCGAGCATAGCTTTGGAGGTCCAGGGTAGTTAGCATCCTTTGGATATTTTCTCCTGGTAAACTGATGTATGTCAAGGTAAATGTTGTGAGGGCCCTCTGGGAGTGAGTGAACAGTGCAGGGGAACAAACAGATCATTATGGTCTGAGGAGAATGGCACTGCAAGGAGTTATCAAGGAATCTTGCCCAAGCTCAACACTCGAAGGAAAGGCGAGACAGATATACAATCAAACAGTTGCCATTAGAAATGGTACTCTTTGCTTGCTGCTGATGATTGGGAGGCAGTGCTTATGGGAATGTCCCTGTTATGTTGATTCTTAATTCAACATTCATCAGGCAGCTAGATGTCCAATGAAGTTTATCCTCCCGACATTAAATCTGGGTCACACACAAGTCAACAACTAAATTATCCAGCTGCTACATATTTAAACAAAACCTCCTCAGTATTTTACCTTTGGGCAAATCCAGATCCACAAGGTATCTAGCACTGCTCAATGTGGTAATGATAACTCTGTGATTCAGAACATCTTCGACTGTAGGTGCCCTGAAAGTTCCTGCCATTGGTCCTTCTCTTTCTAGCAAGGTGTACTTCAAAACTACCTCTGGTACTGTTTGTATCCATCGGAATTTGTACATAACTCTAAGAGGCCGAGCCTCGGTATGTTCATCGGTGTCTACGTAATCATGGAGGAACTCCTTAATGTACAAGTCTGCAGCACTGGAAGAAAGGTTAAAAACTCAAAATTCACAAAGGAACCAAACGATGATTAAAACAGAATTCCAGTAAAGAAATATTATTTACAAAATAAAATAACTTTTCAGTATTAATAAATACATTGTTAAGAACCTACAATGTCATCCTTAAATATACATGCAATAATAAATTGTTTACATAAAATGACATCCAGTTTGAATTAAAGCTACTTAAAACATGTTTTAATGTTCACCAGTAACAAAAACCATGTGTAAACAACAGTTTAAGTTGTATAAAAATGCTATTTCCCATTATAAATACCATATAAATTGTTTATGTATATGTGTAACTCACCTTTACTGACAACAGACACAATTTTGTTTAAAAACAAGAAAGAACAGAAAGAGAGAAACAAGAATAGAATGAAAGGTAAATTTAAAAAATTTAAAAAGATATACAAACAGAAATTTAAAAAATGAAAGAAAGGAAGGAAAAAAGGAAGAAACAAATAAGTGCCTACATGTTTATACCTGTTTGAGTGTGTACATATCAAAATGCGAGAACCCTCCTGCTTGAGAACCTGCTTAGCAGCCTGAGCTAAAGTGTAGGTTTTCCCAGTACCAAATGGTCCTACAATCAACAGAGGTGGCAGCTTCTGGTCTCTGCTTGTAAGAATCAATCTAATAGCATCTTTCTGCTTGTCATTGAGCTGTTTGCTCTCATCTGTTTCCTGAAAAGTGCTACTGAGAAGAAAAAAATACAATTACAAGTTATGCTGAAGATGACATGCTGTGTTGCCAGATTTAACTAGAATCAAATAGCATTTAATTTAATAAGTGACATTTAAAAAAAAAAATTGGTTGGTGAGAGAACTAACTTCACTGCAAAAGGTTTTATCACTTATGGCAGTGCAAGAAAACAGACACTTAAGAGGAACTGGTCCCAATCAGAAGTATTGTTGTGCACTTTCTCGCGGCGACAGAGGTATAGGGTCCTGACATCATTTATATATACATATATATATATTTTCTCTCTCTCTCGCTCACTCACACACACACACAACTTGAGAATCTGATATTTATACTTTAGAATAAATTCTTCAGTATGACTGTAAAAAGCACAGGGTGTGGCAAGCAAACCTGTGAAAAAAAAAAGGATCTGAAGGTTTTAACTAATGCAGAACCACTACCATACAGCATTGACTGCAAAACCACTACCATACGGCACTGACTGCAGAACCACTACCATACGCATTTGACTGCAGAAGCACCAACATATGGCATTGATTATTTCTGCAGAGTTACTGACAAACTGCCAAGAGTGCTAAACAAAATACAAACTTCACAGTTCCACCAATGATCTGCAGAGATCTCTAGAAAAAACAAAAACAAACAAAAACTGCAATCACAAATGGAATTACACAGCTTGAAACTTAATATAGTCTGGTAAATGATTTGAACCACTTCATCATGCAGAAAAGCGCATTAATAAAAATGATAATAATGATTTAATTGAAAGCAAAGAAATATCAGATGGCCATTTGTTGAGGATGTTGCTTAAGGAAAGTTGAAGGCAGGCATAACATGAGAAGTGACTAGGTGTGGACAACACCAAGAGATGGAGTGCAGAAAGTCACTGCGAGTGAAGCATGAGGATGCAGGACAGACAGTATTGAGAGCTCTTCACAGTTGAGCTTCACCACTCACATGGCACTTGATGATTATAAGTCAAACTAGTATTTAAAATTCATAAGTGACCACAGTAATAAACACATTCAACAACATGCCTCATAAAGCAAAGCCAAGATAATTTTATTAACGTTGAGAAAAGATGAGTGTCATAGTAGTCCTTGATATTGTGGTGTGAAGTGTAAAACTGTCACTGCTATTAAATTGTGAAGTGTAAAACAGTCCCAGCTATTGAGTGTGCAGTGTAAAACTGTGCCATCTTTTGGGGTGTGAAGTGTAAAACTGTCGTTGCTATTGGGGAGTGTAAAACAGTCCCTACTATTGGGATGTGAAGTGTAAAACAGGCGCTGCTATTGGGGTGTGTGAAGTGTAAAACAGCCCATACTGTTGAGGTGTGAAGTGTAAAATCTTTACATGTTCTAGGTCACAACATATCAGGTATGGTGGTGGCCAGTACCTTTTCTTAACACTTTTCCTTTCTCAGATAAATTCCATAACCTTCTGGAAATATCTGGTCACCATTTTTATGAGGTTGGGTCATCCTTAGAGCTATACTGGTTTTCAAAAAAAATTGTCAAGAACATATATATAATATATATATATATATTATAAACAGTAAGTATATTTAACTGCTTAAAAAAAAGTCAACAGTTTGCACATACTTATCTCCTAAATCCACTTTATCAGGACAGGCTGCCAAATCTGGGAACACAATGTCCAGTGATGGCAGACGATCTACTGCTGCGTGCATCTCGCACATGGACAGCCTGTTCAGCTGAAACTGGATCTACAGATTGAGAGTGCAAAATGTTATTTTACTCAAGCAGTACCACTATTCACTTCTAATTTGTAAACAAAAATTACAAGCTAATGGCACCACATTTGCCACTTGTAAGAAGCTGCCAACGCTTGCCTGCTGATCAATTGGAGGTTCAGGTCTTGAAGGAATTGGATTTTTTTTAAAAATGACCTCGGCTCCTAGGCTGACCCAGCCATGAGGGGGGGTACCAGGTATAGCAGTGGGAAGTAAAGACGGCCAGTGTGACACTGACCACATCACCCATAGAGTTCCAACTGGTCTAGCCCTTAATGCCAAATACGCCAGAAGGAGTGGAAAAGGATCCTTCGAGAAGCTACCTGTCTCTTAGAGAATAAAGTCAATCCCAGATAAGGTTTCCTAATTTCCTTTTAACCCTTTTGGGTACTACCAACATTACACTTTGTATGACATTACTGACAGCACAATATTTTTAATATTTCAGTGCTAGTAATGTAGCACAATTGCCAAAAAGTTATAGGCTGAATAGGCATGAAGTTTCTTCCAGGTTAATTTTCCTAGGTATTATTCTTGCATAAAAGCAACATTACTCTTGCATACAAGCAACATTACTCTTGCATAAAACCAACATTATTCTCACATAAAACCATCTTTACTCTTACATAAAAACACCATTACTCTTGCATAAAACCAACATTATTCTTGCATAAAAACATTCTTCTGTTCTCTACTCCTGGAATGCCTCGCGGCATCAGGGCAGGTAGAGATCTCTGGAACAGGCCCTTCTGTTCACTTCCTATAAAGTACTTTTCAATGTCTCTGATATTTTTACATTCAACTTCTGCAGGGTCAATCTCTGGCACTGTTGCCACTGTATCTGTAAAACACTACTCTGTCTGTTGCCCATCTTGCTACAGGGCCAAACCATTTGATTTGTCATCTACTGATAAAGTTCAGTATTGGTTCTGTGCTCACTCTCCTCCTGATATCATCATTCCTAAGATGATCTTCCATAGCTATACCTAGGATAGTACGTAAACATTTAATTTCTGTTGTTAACATTTTCCTTCTGTCTTCTGAAGACAGTGTCTGTGTTTGATACTGATAGCATAGCCTTGGCAAAGAACATTGTTCTCCATTTTTTAAAACTACAATGATTCTCAGCATAGAAGCTGCAGATCAAATAAGAATAGTGTATAATTGGAAAGGGCAGGAAAGTGAATATTTTAATTTGCTGTAGACAGGAAGACGGCGTGTATTTGCATTTACATATGTACAGGGAAGGAGATAGGACCAAGAAGGCAAGGGAGTAGCAATCTTAAAGCCATACTGCATAATCACTTTTTAGTAAAACAGCGACGCTTAGTTTTTGTAAGAAGTTTCGCACAATCCTCAAATGTACAAATTTCTCAAATTATTACCTGTGCAAAGAAGTCGTGATCACATGAAAGTCCAAGCTCCTCAACACAGGCACTGGACAGTCTCATAAATATGAAATTTTTGCCTTTATCCTCTATGATAACCTCATACACCTGCAATAATATTCAGAATAAAGTAAAGGTTATGCTAATCATTCATAACAGAGTGAAAATAGTAATAAATAATAATTTGTTCAGTAGACCTCCACACAAGAAATATGCTAGATAAAAAAAACAAACCAAAATGTGCAATGAATAGTTTGTGTCTACATTACTTAAGCAGTAAAGGGCAAAAAATATGGGCAGCCCTAGAAAAACATAAACAAAGAATTACATGTGAGATGAGATGTATAAGAAAAAAAAAAAAAACTTTTACCAATGAAGAACTAAGAACAGTGGTGGGCAAAAATGATTTCATAGAACATCAAAAAATCAAAAGGTTTAGTCACCTGGTGAAAATGGAATAAAAAAAGCTAGAGCGTACTACATGAGAAAAGCAGGCTACGAGGCAAGGTAAGAGGTCAACTAAGAAAGAGATGGGTGGAGGGAGTAACAGGAACACCCCATAAATGCAATATGACATTATTACAACTACACAACTAGAAAAAAAAACAAGAAAACTACATCTAACTCCTCTCTGTGACACCTTAAGACACAAGCTGAAGAGGAAAAAAAAAAGGAAGAACAGCATTTTCACTTACTATTTAATAATTCCCCAAACCACAATTTTGCTTCTTCTTCTCCAGGTACCTCATTAAAGTGTTCAGGAGAGATATAAGGATCCTCTATGTGTGCTATTTTTAATGTGTTTCATAATTAAACCTTTTCTCTGATGTTATTCTTGATGATGCTGTTTTATGTTTTGTGTTGTCTTCCTCATAATCTGCATTCACTGAATTTCTTCAACGTGGCAAAACTGGTACCAGGACATTGTCATCAGATGGTCAAACAATCTCATCTATTGCTCTTTTAAGAATTGTACTTTTTCAGTTCTAGGCCTCTTCTGATTGCTTTACTTTTAATTGTATCTCTTCCTGTTACTCTGGCAGCTCTTCTAAGACATCTCTGTTATGACTCTGCCCTCATCAGTTGTAGTAAGGGTCCATGTTTTACGGTGGTAGTATACAGTCTGTTACACTGCACACAAAACCCACTTACAGGCACACTTAGATGCCACCATCTGAACAGTGTACTCCCCCGTGGCTTCTGGGGGCCCCATTGTGTGGACAACAAGAACAGACCCACTGCATCCCCAAAAAACATGTCGTTAGAGTCGACTAATTTGGGGCTTCTTTCAATGTTTGGGTGCATCTGCCTGAGAGGCTAGGAACCAACAGTCTGCATATAAATAAGTCTGATATGTAAAACAGATGTACACAAACAACACAAACCAGGTTCACTGGAACAAACTGTACTGAGATCCAGAGAAACTTTTTCAACCGACAGCAACAAACCAGCAACTTTTCACTGGACTTTCAAACCTGTGAATATAAAGAAAAGGAAGCATAGGATGCAATGTGCATGCTGTTTTAACTGTGCATGCTGACTGTATTAACTATACAGGGCACCGTATGCATGCTGACTGTTTTAACTGTACAGGGAACAGTGTGCATGTTGACTATTTTAACTGTACAGGGCCCAGTATGCATGCTAACTGTTTCAACTGTACAGGGCCCAGTATGCTATCTGTACTTGCCTCTATGCTTCTCTTGTCTGCCTGTTCCACAGTCACTAATTGCTATACTGACTTTTACAATTATTGTTTAAAAGAGCTTATGTTTGTTCTGCATTAATTTCCCCTTTATCCATTGACCATGGTTCCATCATATGTGCTTTCAAAGCCAGCAGGCCAGCCCTCTCAGTGTTTTGTCCCATTCCATTACCTGTCCCCCTAAGAAGACTAAATCTAGTCACTCCCAGTTGCCATAGGGCCCTGTACATGCCAATATATTGCCATTTCTTGCAGTGATGTTTCTGAAAAGCAAGGTATTGTCTGCATCTGCATAGTGTTTGAGAGGCCGGGATATATATAATATAATATAAACTAAATATAACATTTAGAGGGATTTCATTGTGAATCCAATTGCCTATTTTTAAAATTTTATTTTAAAGCCAGGTTGCCTAAATAATTGTTGTAACCCTCAGTGATAGAAACCCACTGCAGAGTCACGTGATCAATTTGTGTCTGAAGACCTGGGTAATGCATTGTTTTACTTTGTTCTTGTTTAGTGATTGCTCCTTAAATATATTTGTAGAAAAAAGAACTCAACTATTAGACATGTGAGTCCCCTACTACTGTGTCTTGAAAAAAAATCGTGTTTAATATGGTTATTGTGGCATATTTTTAAATAACTGAATAGTTACAATTTCTTTAAAAGAATTTTTTTCAGCAAATCCCGCAGATTCATAACTTATCTTTTTAAGCATTAGAGGGGCAAAAGATTAATTCAGCCTAATGTCCAGGCAAGCAAGCACACTAACCATTATGCTAAATCTCAAAGAAGGAGTACTAAAGAAATTTAAAAACAAAATTAATAAACCTTGTCTGGACGCTCCTTTTTGCCATCAGTAACCCAAGCCACATTTGAGGACTGGAGAATCAGACGGCCTGCCATCGAATCCTCTGAGAGATCATCTTCCAGTTTCATACGGGCAAACAGCTCCCCTCCATGAGCATATTTTGCTGCTGACAAGTTGCTTGGTATCAACAAGTAGCGATCCACAATTTGTAGTGATGTCGTCACATTAAATCTGGGGACGTTTCAGTTAACATTATTTTTCATTTTGTCCTCCTTAATGTTAGGAATAAGGCAGGACTATCAATGTAAAGTAAGTAAAGGACAATGTTCAAACAGGGAAGATGATACTAGACTCATATATTTTTACAAAACCAATCAGGCGATGAGTGATGTGGTTGACACTTTGATTCCCAGGGCCCTACCTGGTACCCATTTTATGCTGGGTCCACCTGAAAGCCGAGTTAATTATTAAAAAAGGGGACTTCTTCTTCTTCTTCACGTTCACCAGCTGTAAACTTTGGCGGAGAGTTCTGCTTGTTCATCCACTTCTGGGCTGCAGTCTTGTTCCAGAACCGGAGTGTTGCGTGTGCATCCGTTCTACAGATCTGACTCATTTGTATGCAGACTACTGGTTCCTTGCCTCTCAGGCAGATGCACTCCGACTTTGAAGGAAGCTCCCAATTAGACGACTTTTATGGCATGCTTTTGGGTAGGCAGTGGGTCTATTCTTGTTTTCCCTATAATAGGGCCCTGGAACCCACACTGGGAAATTGAATTAGAACCATAGACCTCTTGGGCCAACAAGGGAGAACGTAGCTGCTATGCAACCACAACTCCCAGAGCGATAAAGCCAAAATAAAATAAAAATTTCGGCTCTCCTAGCAGATTTGGCCGGTAAGCTGGACTGCTTCGGCCGGCTTAGTGGGGCTTAGTGGGAGTTATGTCCCTTCGCCAAACTCAAAACAAGTCGCGGAAAAAGTCACAAATCAAATGACAACAGCAAAATGGCAGTTAGACAGAGAGCTCCCACACACATAAGCAGCAACAACGTTCTTGCGACGCACGACTTAGTTGCCACGGACGTAACTCCTGCAGATCTGTATGCATTAATGTCTGATAAGTATGCGTGGTTGCGGTGGCTAGCTGAGCATAGTCTTATAAGGAATATGCAACTGTGCAGAATCGTGCAACCGACCTATGTCGCTAGCGCCTCGCCAGCACTGTAGCGACAGATACGGTTGGCGCTGTCATCGCTGTGATACTCGGTGTAGCGTTCACACGGGGTCCTTTTTCGCCAACAGCGACATGCCGACAGAGAAAATAGTCATGATGATGTACTACTGGCTCTCCGGTGTAAGTTCAACGACTGTCATGGTCTTTGAGAGACTCACGTGCTGGCCCACCATTGTCAACTACAACAATTATTTCCGTCAGGAATGCTATAATTGGATGTTGAGACACACCATGGAGCTGGGAGGACTCGATGAGACTGGCAGATCTATCGTGGTCGAAGTAGACGAGAGCTACTTCTTCAGACGAAAGTATCAGCGCGGTTGCATCCGTCACGGTCGTTGGGCTAGTAGAGCGTCAGACTGGCCAGTGCTACTTGGAGCTTGTGCGAAGACGAGATGCGGCGACATTGGAGAGGATCATAACAGATGACGTCCTGCCGGGAACGACCATCGTGACTGACGCTTGGCGAGGCTACAGCAACGTCGCAAACTTTCTGCACGAGGTAGTAGTCCACCAGACCAACTTCGTCGACGTCACGCACAGTCACATACACACACAAACAATTGAGGGCCTGTGGATGTTGGTGAAACGATAAATTCGCCAGCGACTGGGCACCAGCCGCCCGCTATTGGCGTCATATTTGGCAGAGTTTCAGTGGCGCCACTCCCACAAACGCCAGATTGTCGGCCACTATTTCGATCTCTTACGTGAAAATTTTCACATCGAACCATACCCCTAACCCTCATCTTACGCCAACAACCAACCTACACGCAATAAGCAGCCCTACAGGCAACCGTAGGACAATGATAGACACCCTACGCAACCCTACACGCACCCGGATGATGATAGGTAAGTGTGTCATTTGATTCGTGACTTTTTCCGCGACTTGTTTTGAGTTTGGCGAAGGGACATAACTCCCACTAAGCCGGCCAAAGCAGTCCAGCTTGCCGGCCAAATCTGCTAGGAGAGCCGAAATTTCATAATTAATTTAACCAAGACATAAAAAGTCATAATTTTACTTAGGTTAGGACACCGTGGAAAAACTTTTAATTTAAAAAAGGCCCTGCGACCAGAAAAGTTTGGGAAACACTGCCTTAAGTCATAATGATCTATCTTTGCCTCCGTACTGTTTGCTTGCTCCCAAACAGCTCGCTTGTCATACATCAATTCACCAGCATGTGGCACAGAACTGGCCAGTCTATCTGCCTGTCATTGGGAATGTCACATAGTGAAGTCCCAATAGCTCATTCGTATTTCTCACCTCGCTTTCTTTCTCCCTCTCATCTCCACTCTAAATATGAACTACATGCCAACAGAAAGCAACCTACCTGGAAATATATCCCTTTTGAGCCATCTCTTCTATATACAGCATATCGTGCATCCAGAGGCGGTAGTTATCCTTGCTCAGATTGCGTAGCATAGTTTCAGGAGCACACAGCTTGTCCGGTCGAGGGAGTGCATACTTGGTAATCAAAGCAACCTCAATGTTACTGTGGGACACTGGCCTGTACATAAGTAAAGCCTCGTTAATATGAATTCCACAGGAGTAAAAAACCAGGAGTTTGTGTTAAAAAAAAAATTATGCTAACCAGAGACTCAAATTAATAAACCCCTGGTGGGACCAACATTATTAGGGGTTTGTTAAAATGGGATGTGTTGGGCCGAAATGTGCAGACTCGAAGCCTATGCATAAACTACAACACGAGATGTCCCAGCAGTGCTTTTAAAGGCAAACACAGAAAAGAAGAAGAAGAACTCATCATTAAACTGGTGTTAGTACGAGTCTATACCTGACAAATCTATTACTGTTTAAACAAAGAAAGTTACTTATGTTTAAAACATGAAAAAAGTTATCAGTGTTTAAAACTGAGATAGTTACTAATGTCTAAAATTAAAAGGTAACAAAATAAGCAATGATTATTCATTGCTTATTTTGTTACCTTTAAATTTGAGATATTAGTAACTTTCTCATTTTTTAAGGAAGCTAGTTCATGTAATCCCATGTTAGACTATCATAAGATAGACAGTAGGTGGTTTGGTCATGTATCATGACTGCCAACATGCAGTGTTCCACAAGAAAGCAACACATCTCCACATACAAAATTATTAATAGATTAACAACATAACTGAAGCAACCAGACAGGTTAACTGCAAAGCTTGAAGAAACATTGACCATAGTATATAAAGCTCATTCTATAACTCTATGCTAGAACAATTTTAAAACAAAAGTTAAGCAAGAGGAAGAAGATAAGCAAATAGGGAGAAAGAAAGAAGATGAGTTGATTTAAGAACCGACATCACAGCACTCAGGGCATTCCCATAAGCACTCTGTCCCATCTTCAGCAGCCAGTGCAGAGTTCCAACACCAATGGTGACAGCGACATTCTGATTATACGTCAGTCTTGCCTTTTCTCTGAGCGTCAAATATCAGCCAGGTTCCGTTGTCACTCCGCGCCGCATTACTCTCACAGACTTTGGTGATCCATTTGCTCCTCGTCTTTTCAGCAGAAAGAAGTTCAAAGCAAAAGCAACGTGTTATAGACTTTCTGTAAATCCTACAAAAAAAAGGTATGACTCACCTCGGCTCAAAGTTCACTAAAGTGACTGTTTTCTCATTCCATCTTTGAGCTTCTGACAGAATGATCTCTTTGCGGATCTTCTCAGGATCTGTAGCAGGTGCCGATTCAACCTGCACCTCTCTCATGAGAATGGCTTCTACCCCAAAATCGAAAATAATTGACTGCCGAAAAGTGCCGTAGATGTCAGTCTTGAATACAATCTGTCAATATTATAATAAAAATATCTATAATTTTTGTATAGGATATCAACAGTGACAACTTCGGCATGGTTACAGTCCTATAAAACAATCACTTGTGAATGACAAGTGACATGACCCAACCTAGGCTTTGGTATTTGTGGTTGAAAACTGTGGTCAATATGACATTTGTGTATATCACATGATGACTGTGATTCTGCAACCATTGCCAGACTTCAACAATAGCAAATCAAAATGGACGAGGCCAGACAAGAGCAATACCATCATCATCATGTGCCTTGCCGACTGGCGTGGGCGATCATGCCTCTCCATAATCTGCGATCTCCTGCAGCATGTATCAGTTCGTGTGCCGACACACCTCCATGACATGCAACAAGACTGTCAAGCATCTTCTCTCGTTATCTTCCTCTATCTCTCCTTCCACATATCTTTGCAGTGGTCACAACATGTTCTATTTTCCCCTCTTCTCATAACATGGCCAAAAAATGATGACTGTCTCCTTCTGAAGTCTGTGATAAGTTGTCTTCGGGCTCCCCCCTCTTTCAAAACCTCTTGGTTGCTCTTTTTGGCTGTCCAATGTATTCTAAGCACTCTTCTGTAAAACCACATCTCCGAGGCCTCCAGAAATTGTTTGGCCTGCCTACCGATTGTCCAGGATTCACAGCCATATGTTAAAACTGGATGTATATGCAGGTAGTTAAAGAATAATAATAAACCAGCCCGGAACTAGTATCGTCAACTACAACAATATCAGGGATACACTGAGGATGAGATCCGAGTGCTTAGGAACCGAGTGATTTGATGTGCAGTAAGAATGACCCGTCAACCAACTTCAGTCATGTGCTTTGTCTAGATTTTGTGACTTTCCCTTGAGATCTATTTATCAATGTTGTGTGACATACACAATAATAAAACAATACAACTCTTGACCTCTTCTTGCAAGAAAGACTGACAAAACACCAAGTGCAAGTTAAATTAAAGACTACTGCACAGGCGACTATTTATTTTGCCTTACACTAAAGGTCATCGGTTCATTTGTCTAACTATGCCACGTGGTTTACAAGTGCAACTTCTGAAGGGATCTCTAGGGATCATCAATGGTGCAGCCAGGAGTTTCTGCTTTAAGGCATGCTATTGTCATACAGCTAGCCATTTTGCAGATAGAGAGACTGAGTCGTGTAGGATAAAAACCTAACGAAGCAGATCTTCTTAAACTTTAACAAAACAGAAGATGGAACTCATGTCACCTACCTTCACTCTATAGACATATTCTCCTTGACCTTTGCTCTGGGTGTCTTGATTAACCCATTCCTGACACTGATTTTCTAGATTCTGATATTTCTGAGTCTTTCTGGGACCCACTGAAATGCTGGCTATGTGAAAGTAACTGCGGTGAGTGTCTGACATCAATGCTACACCTTGCAAGCACAGCTGTTAGTAGAGAAATGTAATTTGTTGACAAATGAATAATGATTACAGTAATAAATAATTACCAAAACATCTTCCTCGACAATGAAGTTAATTATGAGACTTAGATTCAAACTGTTTAGCCAATGTGAGCGTTCCAGGGCCGCAGGATGGGGAATATAAGAGCAGACTTATTGCACATCCCTCCTTCCCCCCCCCCTCCCCCCGCCTCAAAAAGCATGCTGTAAAAGTCAGCTAATTAAGGGTGTTTCCTTCGAAGTCGGGGTGCATCTGTCTAGAGGCCAGACACCAACAGTCTGCACACAAATAAGCCAGATCTGTAAAACAGATGTGCGTGTAAAACTTAACTTCTGGGCCAAGACAAAATTTTAAAGTAGAACAACTAGAACTTTCCATCAGAGTTTACTGCCGGTGAACAAACACAAAGAAGAAATAATTACAAAACATCTTCCTCACCAATGAAGTAAAATATGAGACTGTTAAGATCAAGACTGTCTTGCAATCCCATATGTGGGTTCCTGGACCCTAATTAGTTGATGGGTGGTGGGGGTGGGCGATAGCTACTACCGCCCCCCCCTCCCCCAATAACAGTTAGTTACACACCCTGTTACAGGACAAAAAAACAATCCCAGCATTTTTGGCTGTTCATGACTTTACTAGGCAATTTTGCATTCAGTAGTTTGCCATTACTGGTTGGACTAAGGGAGCAACTCTTCATGTGGGTTCCAGGGCATCAACTTTGGGGGGGGGGGGGGGGAGAAGAACAGACCCACCGCCACTAGCAAGCATATCGAAAGATATGACTAATTAAGGTAGTGATGAAGTTGGATTTGTTGGGCCCAAAAATTGCAGATATGACAGCCTCACTGAAAACCACAACATGACAACTGCCCTGTTAAGGGGGAACACAACTAAAGAAGAAAAAGAAGCAGAAAAAGAAGAAGAAGAAAATGGCTATAAAACTGTGGGTTTACACACAAGGGGCAGTAAAATGTCACATACAGCACACCTGATAAAAGTTGAATTCGGATGTTTCTGCAAACATACCTGAAGAAACAGTGGTGTGTAATTTATGTTACGACAACATCAAACAAATATTAACAGATAATAAATATGTAAGTACTCACTTTACTGGTCACCGTGAAAGTCCAGGCATTCGTGCACTTCTTGGTGGACATACTAACTTTCAGGTCAGAGTTGACATGAATTTTGACCATGTCCATATTCTCAACCAGCTTGCAGAGAAAATGTGACATAAATGTTATTGATTACATATTTGTTTTCAATTATGAAATAAATATTCAAATGGTTGACAGGCAAAATCCTTTCAAAAATTATGCCAAAATATAAAGCTGCACAAAACTACAGCTGAAACAGAACCCCAGCATCCCTGTGTGGGTTCCGGGGCCTCCTTTGTGGGGGAAAACAAGAAGAGAGCCCTGCCTCCCCAACAAGCATGTTGTAGAAGTAGACTAAAGAGAAGCTTCCTTTGAAGTTGGAGGGCATCTGCCTGCGAGGCAGGGAATTAACAATCTGCACACAAATAAGTCAAATCTGTAAAATGAAGCAATGCTCATGTTTTGGAACAAGACTAAAGTCCGAAAGCGGGTTAACCAGAACTTTCAGCCAGAGTTTACAGCCACTGAATACGAAAGAAAAAGAAGAAACAGCATCCAATAGTTAGAGGGGGAGGGGGAAGACTGAAAGTTAATTGACCCCAATCTTCTACAACCAACATCAAAGACATAAACATGGAAGACTTATCAAAGTCACTGAACAGACATAAACAAAGAAGATTTATTCAAGTCATGGAACAGACATAAAAACGGAAGACTCATCAGGTATATCATGCAGATTCTTTTTCTTATTATACATTCACCCTTACCAGGGCAGCTGGCTTGCTGTGTTGTGGTTTACTGCTAGGCTGCGGTATCAGCACTTTTCAGCCCAACACATTTCCATTCTTTTATCATCATAAAGATTCTTGCAAACTTGCATAGAAGATCATGTATCATGCTTCTTCACATCTTGTCACTTCCGAGAGCAAACTGTCCATAACTTTACAAAATGCCGTCAAGAGTCTTCCCTTTTTCCATAAATCTTTTAAAGCGTGACATGTTCCAGCTTTTATTTTCTGAAAATGTAACTACAAAATATGGACTGCCTTTTACCCCTCACGCTAATACTTTTATATTTAAAAGAAAAACGTATACAGTCTTCTTCTTCTTCTTCAGCGATCTTCACTGTGGGCCACAATCTGGGTTGCCATCTCAAGGTCTCTTAGGTGAAGGTGACAGTCATTAATCTAGCCATTCCAGCAACAGAGGCTGCATGACTTGAAAATTACTTTATTTTTACATTGGGCACCCTAACACCCAAGGGTCTAAACTTTCAACAGTTTCATCTAAATTACGACTCTTGGCATTCCCCTGCTATTTAATTCTTGGGCTTATCATGTCTCTTCATTCCACAAGCAAAATACCAACATGGCCGCTTCAAGATACGTCAGTTAAGTAGTTATGTGTTATTTGTGTGGTTTTGATTTAATTTATGTATGTGCTTATGAAGGACCTACAGGCACAACGTTCACACTTCATTTGTGTTTGTTAGCTTGCTGAGCAACATTCAAAGGTCTCTTAGGTTTTCCCAAAACTTAGTTTACATGCAGGGTGAAAACCTACCACCATCTTTGGAGGTTCTTGAGACATCAGCTTTTCCAGCAGCTGCTCAATATATGTGCTTCCTCGTGCCCTGGCTTCCTGTAGACTGCTGCAACTGCTGCTTGCGGACTGCGTAACGATGATTCCACTCCTCCAGCTCTTCCTGGGAGTGGGCTCTGGTACACTTCTCTCCAAAAGTGCATCTTCCAGTTTCCAGAAATCTAACAAGTAAAAGATGGCAAAAGAAATTCAAGAATTAGTTCAAACTGGTGTTTATTACAGGTGCCCCATTTATGAAGCAGTGAGCTATAGGTAGTGTAGTAGTGCAGTATCTAACACGCTTTTTAGACAAGTGGTAATTATTAGAATCTACCCTAAGAAGATTTTGTTCCTTGATCTAAACTACAGACTGACTCAGACTCCAATGGGTACCAGGAATATTGTGAGCAACGACAAGTGGCATGATAGCGGCCATAACACATATCAAGAGCTGACCTTTTTCAATATTTTGAGCCTTTGAGGTTCTTTGTTGCTAATGTCAGCCACCTCAATTCATTAAAATATCTGTTTCATGAGAAAATGAGTTCTTACAAAGGCAAAAGTGGCAGCCCAATTCTTCAATCCTACAGCCTGGAGGAACAGGATGTCTCTCTGTGATTTCTTTGTCCTCTGACCTGTCCAGCTTGGGAGGCCCTGCTGGTAGCTATTCCTCCTGCCGGCATAGTGCCTCAGGTTGACTGAGGAACACAAGCTCCCCCCGCCAATTAAGATGGAGCTAGTTGAATATTTCCAATACATATCGTGTCATGAAAAGAGGTCCTTTACTTTACTGTACTTTTTTGTTTTAGTACTGGCAGAGCAGTAGTTTTCTCACCTATCACCAAGGTCTAGTGTTTGATCTTATACGAGTACATGGAGTAAGCTTAACCATACGATACATCACACACACCCCCCCCCCCCGCAAAAATTTTTTACAACAAATCTAGTGCCCCTCCATAACCTTACAACTGGTTGGTGGTGGGGGGGCTGATCTACAGGAGGGGACAAGAGCACCAACAGAAAGATTTACATGTAACCAAACACCCCCCCCCCCCCCCCCCCCCCCCCCCCCCCCCACCCCACCCCCCCCGGAAAAAAAACGATCTTTTGTCAAAGAAACAAATATTGTTTACCAACAGCAGCAAACTTACCGTTTACACACACTATACTCATCACTAGCCAGACCTCTAGGGGGTGCCCTATAGTGCCAATCCTGGGCATTGTTTTGGGAAAGCCTTTGTCGGTGTTCATAGCTGTCATTGTGAATTTCCCACTCATCTCTAAATGTAAAGTTGGCATCACAGGTTGTACAGGAAAAGCTGGCTACATCTGGCAAGATATATATATATATAAAACAAGCAATTCAGATTAGTTACTGGGATAAAGGCTCTGGCTATAGAAACAAAACAAAGAAATTTATTCATAGATATTGATTACCTCTTACAAAAGATAAATGAGAATTTACAGAAATGAAAGGACACCATCCTAGCTCTAGACATGCACAGAGTTCCAACATAAAGGAAATATGGAAACAGGTTATTCCAGCAAATGATGCATGAGTGGAATATCTTAGACTATGAACACAACCTTTATGTTCTCCATATCTTTTCCACATATATGCTGAAAATATTGTGACAAATGCAGTAATGAGTGGACTATTAACATTGTTTACCTCTCCTAGAACTCAGATGGCACAGTTCTCTCTTCCAAGAGGGTACAGCCTTAGAAGAATTAATTTTCACCGCAAAAAAGGCACAGTAACGAAGTAAACTTTTTTCTGAACAAAAAAAAAAATATCCACAGTAAATACAGCATACCGACCTCAGATTAAAATTTATAATGAATGTGTGAAAATAACACTTATTTTGAATATCCAAGCTCAATATTTGAACAACAATGATAACTGTACAAAATAAATTAGGAGAGGACTTGCTTTAGCAATGCAGAGATTAAATAGTATGAAAAACTTATGGCACAGCACCAGTGAATGACCTGAAATATCAATTCTGAGATCGTTTACTTTTCGGTGGCAACTTATGGATGTGAATCGTGACTCTTACTCAATCACTGAGGGAAAGTTTTAGAACTAAACTGATAGCATTGACTATTCTTAGAATACCATGGACCAGAAAGAAGAAGAAAAACATGGATATCCTACATGATCTGAACACTGAGGAGAACTGGCTTGTAAACAGCATCCTGTTCTAAATGCTGGAGGATTTTGGCCATGTTAAACATCATAGTGGCCTGGAAAAAACAAAGTGATCAAGGGTACAGTTTCTGGAAAATGAGGCAGAGGCTGACTGCCATGAAGGTGGATACAAGAATCTCAATATGCACTGGCAAAGACATCACATAGAGACTTTCAGGGATTCTATGAAGGTGGATACAAGAATCTCAATATGCACTGGTAAAGACATCACATAGAGACTTTCAGGGATTCCGTGAAGGTGGATACAAGAATCTCAATATGCACTGGCAAAGACATCACATAGAGACTTTCAGGTATTCTATGAAGACAACGAAATTGCGTAAAGGACCTGCTGATGAAGCATACATATAAACAGCTCTTTCCAAATATTTTCTAACTTGAGGGTGACAGGCAGAAAAAAGTCAGAGAGAAGGAGGAGGAAGAAAATGATATTTAATTATTTTTTTTAAATCTGTTATCTCCACATGCACTACTTTAAAACACTTTTATTTCAGACTGATGGTCATAACATGAATCAAAATAATTCCAGCTGTGTGTCACCTGCACTCACAAGGAAAGTAAAGAACAGTAACAGTGTAATCTACCACGAATGTCATAGAAGGTGACTAAGGAGGTTCAGCATGAGACCAGTTACTCCCCTTCCGTAAGAAAAACACCTGTAAAATCCAACAATAAAATAGGTCGAAGGTGAAAAAATAAAAGTTATGTCTGGGCAACCACTAGTATCCACAGTTATAAGAAAGAGAAGAGGATGCTTTACTGGACACATAAGAAGAGACAAGCAGAGAATCGCCAAGCAGGCACTGAAATAGGAAATGGAGTAACTCAGCAAATGAAGATGTTCAAAGAGTGAACATTAGTGAGAGAAGTCACATGTGCTGGAATGGATTCCATCCATGATATTGAACTGACTTCACAGGAAAGAATGGAATAGAGAAATATGTGACATGTAATCGCACAACAAGACAATCACTGAATGAAAAAATCCTACTTAAGAACAATTCCTAAATGGGTTTATGTAAGCTGGTTGAAGCGCTACCCCTTTTATTTTTCCATAGATAAAAGATTTTAAAGAAAAACAACTCTTCATGAAATGAGCTTTTATTTAAAATGGATATAATAATTAACAATTAATGCAATCATAATCATTTAGCAGGTCCCCTGCAGAACGTTGCTGCTCTCATAACTGCCTGAAAGAAACTCAGTCTGTCACCAGCTCTCCTGTCTCAGGTACTTTCATATTCAAGGAGTCACTTATATCCTGTGTGCATCATCGTGTTGATTGGCCCCTGTCCCTATTTTCTGCTACCATGCCTTTTGGTATCATATTTTCCCAATCCGCTGTGGCGCTTGATATGATCAAAATATTTCAGCTTCTGAGGCAAGATGCTGTTTATTAGCCAAATATTTCAGCTCAAAAGCCCTTAATTTCTTTAAGAACTGGGAAATACTCCACAACACATCCGTACACTGCTACAGGGAAGATGCATGCTCTCAAAATTTTAATTTCCTTGATGGTGTTTTTCATGCATTAATGCAATAAACGGATAAACATAATTGACCATACAGTCTTATGGAGTAAGAGATGAAATAATTCTCTTTACAAAATTCATCTACAATTTTATGTCATGACTAACAAAAGCATGTGTGTTCTTGTTAGTAATATACATATAATTACATAGTATATGTATATAAAAGTAAAGTAAAGATCCCTTATTACGCCTAAGGCACATCGGGTATATGGGCAGAGCATCCCATATTTTTACAGACCAATCGGCACTGGATGGGTAATGTGGTCAGCATTACGGCGGCCGTTTTTACTTCCCCAGGACAGCCATCCTGGTACCCATTTGAGGCTGGGTCGACCTGCGACGTCCCATACCATGATAAAAATCCATGCAGCCCGGAGTGGGTTTCGATTGCGGTGCGTTGGATTACGAATTGGACTCGCAACGCCTTAGCCACGGACGCCGCAGTCTATGTATATATCACAACTAAATCAAATGTTAGAAGGGTTAGATAAAAGTTTATACGTTAACATTTGAGGCTGAGCATTATGTATTGTTAGTTAAGTCAATAGCTTATCAACAACAAAAATATTTTAAAAAATTTAAGTTAAAGCTTTGGGCAGACAATTATAAGTGCCTTTGATGATAATAATAATAATAAATAATAATAATAAAAAGAGAATAAGCAATTATTTATTATTGGTAATTAAACCCCAAAATTTACCTTCATTATTCTTAAAGTACACTGCCTTGCTGGTAGATTTCACTGCATTTTTGGCAACCTCAGTAGAATCTCTTTCACCCTTTGAGGCATTTTTTAAATGCGCAGGTAGGGATGTCTTTTTCTCAGTGTCTTCATCTTCTTTGGTGACTGTCAACTCTTGTATATCATCTTCTTCATCATCCGAATCTGGTCCCTCAACTGCATTTAAGATAATTTTAAGCTTCTCATGTTCTCTTTTTGCTGTCACATTCTGTGTTTTAAAAAGAAGAAGAAAAGAACAATGTCTTTTAAAGCCCTTAATGTGCCATTTTTTTAACAGTGTACGGTCACAGGAAAAAGTCAGTACAGAACCAATCCTAAATTACATACAGAGACTGCAAATCAAATGAGAGACTGTTTTGTGATGTAATACTATAACCTGGCATACATCACAAGAGGAGAAGGATGTACAGCATGAGGTAGACCAAGAACAAGATGAAAAGCTAACATCAGAGAAACTCTACAATAGCACAATGTGTTTATAGTTGAGGTGGCCAGAAGAAGAGGAAGCAGAACCTTATTTCTCCCTCAACACTTGAAGAGGTAAAAAAGGAAGTGAAAAAGAAGTTGGGCCAAAGACAGTAATTTAAACTTGATGATTTAAAACAGCAAAGTTAACACAGTTGACACAAACTGTGCAAGTATATAAATTAAATTATCATTGTACTTTAAACTGACACTGTGTTTTTATAATAAACAATCTGTATTTCAAATGACTTGTTGAATCAATGGCCATGATGTTGTAACACAATACACATACTAAGGCTATCTTATCACCAATGTCCCTTATGCAATACTTGAAGGAAACTAGGGAATTATGAAAGGCTTGATAGTGTCACACTGACCATGGTACAGAATCCCTATTTAATGGTAGTGGAAATACATTTCGTGATTTAAAAAAATGCGAAAAATATTAAAGGACACAAAATTAACGTGGCAGCCTTTCTAGAAACAAAACTAATTAAGAGAAATCATAGTCAAGATTTTCTTGTCATGTCATAAGGGTAAGTAAAAATGAAACTTTAGTGACAACTGGTAAATCTGAGAAGAAAAGAGCAAGGAGAAAAAAAAAACAGATAAATACCTGGATGTTTTGGCCATGTGGCACAAGTTGGACAAGAACATAGACAAGGCCAACATTTCTTCTGACAATGTTAAATGGCTAACCATGACCACCACCAGTACTTATCAACCTAGCACAAGATAACGATTCTGTGTTTACCCTTAAAAAAAAAAAAAAAAGCAGCCGGCATGCAGTGTTATGTTTTACAGCTAGGCTGGGATAGCTGCACCTTTTAAACCAACACATCTCATTTCAGCAAAACTCTAATTCCTCACCTTTCACAGCATGCTCATTAGGAGGCACTGGGCCCCTTACCATGGGGCTGCTAAACACATATTTGAAAGTGATGATACCATATTCTATAAGTGCTGCTTAATTTTCTTACACCACAGTCCATCAAAAAAGGGAAAACTGTTTTAAGGCCTACCCAGCTGTTAGCAGTTCATTAGCTAATGTGACATTTGCTTAAAGGTTACAAAATTTCAATAACGAGGCTGGAGTGTTGTTTCTGATAAATGAAGCATTGCAATAAAATAAATTTTGTTTCTGTTTTGTGTTAATTAATGGCAAGGGTGAGAAACTTTAAAAAAAAAATGCAAACAGGAAGTCTAAAAAAATACCAACAATATGATAGCTCTATAATTCAGAGATGGATACTCTAGTTCTTTTTCGAATGATATCCAAAGCTGAGACAATGATTTTAACTTCCCCCTATATGCCACTATCCTGGATAGGGGAAGTTCTGTTTTTAGTGTCTGTAAAATACATGATATTTGGCGGCGACACCTAAAATATTGGTGCTAATATGTTGTGTATGATGTCACGCTCGCTTTGCAATGATTTAGTGCCCAAATCATAAAGCTGATGCACAAATTATAATCCTTACTGTCAGACTAGATAACAGGTTACGTTATCGTCAGGTGCCCTAATATTTTTTAAAATGCAGTTTAAGGGGTTTCTGGGATTTGAACCATTTTGATGTTTATCCAAGAGTTGTTAATTCTACAGTAATCCCGAAAGAGAACAACTACCTACCATACCGAGTTAAATGATTCAGTAGCAATTTTCAGCAGCCCGCTAGTTGAAAAACACAGTTCTATAACATGATGGTTAAAAGAATTGCACAGAAAAACATATTAACACTTAATTTTACTGACAAAAGAATCAATAATTGGTTAACAGCATATTTACTTGAGAGTCCAGCTCAAGCCACTCTTCGACAAGCTTGTAAGCATCTTGAAACTGATGCAGCTGGCACAAAACCTTTGTTTTCTTCTCTAGAAGCTTTGAGTTGCCAGGATGTACTTCCAAGGCTGCAAGTGAATTGTGATATGTAGTTAATCATCCAAACAAGTGAGAAAATAAATAGTCAGGACTTAACAATATGAATCACTACATAGTCAATATTTGGATTCGGCCATGGATTCAGGTCCTGAAGGAGTTGAACTTTTCTATATATAAAAAAAATTGACCTTGGCTCCCAGGCTGATCAAGCCTTCAGTGGGTACCAGGTAAATTCCTGGGAAGTAAGAGCGGCCTGCATGATGCTGACCACATCGCCCACCGAGCAGTCTATAAAATACAGGTCCAACCCAATATGCCTGAAGGCATGGAAAAGGGTCCTTTACTTTTAACTTACCCAATATCTGGATTCTAATTAAAGTCGAGAGGATCAACTTCCCTGCTCCCCATGAAGGTTTCATGGCTATTTTGTGGGAAGGTGGGGGGGGGGGGGGGGGAAAACAGACCCACTGCCCTGCAGCAAGCATGTTATATTAGGATTTTCATTCAAAGCTGAAGTGCTTTTGCCTGAGAGGCAAGGAACCAAAAGTCTGCATTCAAATAGGTCAGATCTATAAAACAGATGTACACTAAAAAAAAAAAATCTAGATTTGGAACAAGACTATAGTCTAGAAGTCTTCAAACAACCGGGGCATTCCACTGGAGTTTACAGCGGGTGGATACTAAGCAGAAGAATAAACTTGACTGTGCTGTGTTTTATCCCATATGAATCAGCCTCCCTGGCTAAAATGACAGGTCACCTTTTAAGAGCACTGCACAAAGCATGTTATTCCTTAGCGTTAGTGACGACCCACATGCACACACAACCCCTGAATATTAGGCTTGATATTACATTTAACTCTCTGTAAGACGGCCTGCATGCCGAATTTGTGACCATTTGAAAATAAAGTTTCTTCGATTAAATTTGCTCCAAATGATTTTAAAATTTTCCTAATAAACTGCATCAAAGAAGTCTCTAGTTTCTAATCTCATTATTCACTGTCAATGATATACATGACTACCCAGTACGGGCAGTCAGTAACTCTGTGAATGTTGAACGCACTCTTTAAGATTAAAGTATTAATGAAATTCAAAGGCATACAAATACTGAAAAACATTTTTGCTCGCCACACATGTAATATTTCTTGGAGCCACCATGGTGTAGAGGCTAGACTCTCGGTTGCAGATTGGAAAGTTGTGGGTTTGGGTGCTAATGAAGCTGAGCTTTAAAAAAAAAAAAAGAAGATGGTGGCTCCTAGGTCGACCCAGCCTTCAGTAGGTACCATGGGATAAAGGAAGCAGGCATGATGTTGGCCATATCACCCACTGAGTGCCAACTGGTCTATGAAATATAGGTCTCGCCCTATATGCCTTGTACGCGTGGGAAAAGAGTTCTTTACTTAGATGTAAAAAAAATTAATAAAGATATTTGGCTTACCTTTATTACAAATGTCTAACCCATGACTAAGCTGTTTCTGTAAAAGAAAGTAAAAAATTAACACCACAAAAATATATATATATATATGTTTACTTATGCTTGCATTCGTGTGTGTGTGCACCCACCCTCATATATACTGGCTGCTGAAAAAGCACATGTGCCAGTTAGGAGCAACCATGGTAAACAGAGCTTGCACAGACCCTGAATTTCAAAGGTAAAGTTAAGGAACCTTTTCAAGACATTGGCGCTCCGGTCTACAATAATTCAAATTCAAATTCTCTTTCTTTGACCACTTTCAGCTAGGTCCGTTCACATTTCTGCTCACTTTCCTTTCAGCTATATTTGTGGTGACGTTTTCTGGTCGCGATCTTATTTGATTCTGGATTGTGTTTAATGTTGTCACTTTCTGTTTGTTGTGGTTTCCGCTCTTGCTGTTGTTTTTGTAATCTGGCTGGCCCTGTGCTGCGCTCAAGATGATTGGATGTTGGATCGATTTATTGTCGTATTCCTTGGCTGTTTGTTGTTTCCGGTGAAAGTAGATTGCCTATCCTAATAAGGACCGGCGGTCGATTGACTTGGGCAGGTACTGATGGCTATACTGCTGAGGTCTGGTATTATTTTGGCGATTTTCTCGTATCCTTGTTGTAAAGTACTGCTCCTACATAGGGTTTCGGTAATTTGGCTTTGGTTGTGTCGTATCTGGTATTAGTGTTTGGGGTAACGATGTCGACCTCGTTTGACTTCAAATTTTGGCTGTCGATGTGGTTCCTCTGGTGATGACCAAAAAAACATCATCATCCTGCAGTTCTGAGTTATAGAAGTTCGGGTCCTCCATCTCCATGATGCGTTGGTTAATTTGGTCAATTGTTGCCAACGGAAACTGTTTCATCAGCGATGCCTGAGTTTTCTTATCTGGTGTTTGATGCGGCTTTTTCTGGGTCTCGGCTCCCTGTATTTGCTGCCTTCTTGTTGCCTCTTTCCGTGCTTTCTCTCTTTCTTCCATCACTCTGTTGGTTGCTTGCAGTTCCTTGTTAAGTCTGTTGTTTTCTTCGTATGCTCTTCGTAACTTTTCCTCTGTTTCAGCCAGTGCCTTCTTGATCATTGCGATTTCTTTCGCGAGAAGTTGTTGGTTAACCCGCAGATCATTGATGCCCGCCTCGTCTTCCCTTGCCTTAGTTGGTTGTTCCTTTTGTGTCTGGATAGTGGCCAGTGCATTCATGATGTCCTCCTTGAATTTCGTCATCTCTGCTGTCATCCGTTTCTGGGTGTCAAGAGTCGCCTGCATTATAGCTCTCAGGCCTGTTATTTCATCTCTGTCTTCATCTCGTTGGGTTTTGGATGCGTCTTTCTCGTCTCTGAGAGCTTGAATGTCACTTTTGAGTTGAGCCACCTCGTTGCTCAATTTGGTGGTAATGGCTGCGGTTATGCCTTGGGTTGCTTCGTGTCTTCTGCGGGCCTCATGGTATGGAATCTTATCCCGTATGGCCGTGGTTGCAATTTCTCTACATTGTTGCAGATAGGGGCACCCCAGGTACCTGGTGCTGTGCTGGCCGTAGCAGTTGGCGCACTTTCTGTTCGTATTGGGTGACTTAAAGTCTGTGTCCAGCTTTGCCAGCGGGCAATTGTTGAAGGCATGGTGTTGTGAACAGTATCGGCATACTTCATGTTCGCTCACACAAGTGGCCCGGGAGTGCCATGCTTTTTGACAACGAGAGCACTGGATCACCTGTGGCACGTATTGCTCTGGTCTTTGCATTCTTTGATCTAGGTAGACTTTATCCGGGATGTTTTCTCCTTCTGATGTTATCACCGCCACTGGCAATGGATGCCGTTTTGAGCCCAGTCTCTCTGCTTGGTTGATGTTGACATTGGGGTTTTCTTTCCTTATTTGTTGCAGAATTTCTTCGTTGCTCCATTGCAGGTTGACTCTTCGGATCACCCAGCGTCTTACATTCTGGAAGATGGTGGCCGTCACAGTTATCTCCTCGGATAGTCGGAGTTCTTTCTTGCCGTCGTGTTGGATGTCATCCAGCATGTCTGAGGTGCGGTTGGTTCTGTTTAGTGAAGCTATCACTCCTTCTCGAGTTCTCCTAATCTTTGCGACTGCCCTCTTGCCTAACATGATCTCCAGCATATTGATCAATGTTAGCGTTGCCAGTGTAGTGATTGCTGTCCGGCCCGAGTTGGTCTGTCGTAGAAATATTGTGGCAGGGAATTCATAGCTGCCTGTCTTTCGTCGATCTGGAGATGTCTGTGGACTTGGCTGTGTTGGTTCAGGTGACGCTGGGACGTCACTCAGGGCCTCACTGGTAGTAGGGGCGTCTTCCTGTGGTTCGGTAGTATCTGTCTGCGTCTTCCTGGCCTCCGAGTTAGATCGAGTGGATCTGTCAGTGGGCTGTTTCCTCTGTCCGTTGCGCTTTCCGTTAGGTTTGTTTCTCCGAGACATGGTGCTTGCGGAGAAGGCCTCTCGCTCTGGCAAATACTTTGTGTTGTGTTATGTGAGTTTCAGTCCTATCTGGTGATAATTGCGGAGAAGTCCTCTCGCTCTGCCTATCCTCAAAGGGACCAGCAGGTACTGTATTGTGCAGGTATCAATATCTGATGACAATTGCGGAGAAGTCCTCTCGCTCTGCCTATCCTCCAAGGGACCAGCATATACAGTATTGTGCAGGTATCAATACTATCTGATGATTGGCTGATAAGGTGGAGCCGAAGCTGATGCTGCCGTGCCGGTCTACAATACTAGACTTGTATTTTTTATAGACCTGGCATGTCCTCCCTAGGTGATGTGGTCGACATCATGGCAGCCACCTTTACTTCCCAGGACAATACCAGGTACCAATATAAGGCTGCGTCAACCTGGGAGTCAAGGCCACATTTTCAAGGAAAACAATCAGACTCCATGTGGATTATTCTTTTTCTTAGCATTTACCAGCTGTAAACATCGGCGGACAGTTTTGATCGTTTGTCCATTTTTTAATTTAGTCCTGTTTCAGAACTTTTGCTTTGCACATCCATTTCTGGCTTATTTGTATTCATATGGTTCCTTGCCTTTCAGGCAGATGAACTCAAATGTTGAAAGAAACTCTCAATCAGTCTGCTTTTATAAAAAAAAATTGTTGGGGGAGGCGAGGGAAGGGGGCAGTAGGTCTATTATTTTTTCCCCTCCACAAAACTGATGCCCTGGAACCCAAACATAGGCAATACTGGTTCAAACCCAAGACATTCTGAATTTTTCATTCGGCAAAACTACAAGCTAGTCATATCAATTCTTCACGTTCATAACAGTCAATAAGTACCCATGTCTTGCAATTACCATAAGATGAGCTCAAGATTTTGTTCAGAAAGTGGTCTGTCTGTGCAGTGGTTGGAAGCTTCCATCCAGGCTCAAAGGTTTTGGGTTCAAATCTGCACTGAAGCAGATGTTTATTTACATAAACGATTTTGGCTTTCAAGTTGACCAGCCTTAAATGAACAGGAAATGGTCTAGGAATTGAGCGTGGCTGATCTAATGTTGACCATTCACCCCACCCATCATGTGCTGAGTGATCTGTAAAATCATGGGTCTAGTACCATGTACCAGATGTAGTGCCGATGGCAAGACATCACCGCATGCCAATTATTTAGGTCAGATAACTTGATTCCCTGACGTTAAATACTTTAACTTCTTCTCTTCCTTTGACCGTTCACTCTGGCAGAAAGTTCTGGTTGTTCATCTACTGAGACAATGTGTTGTGTGGACACTTCATTTGTGACCAGTTCCCCTCACTGACTCACCAGCAGACGAAAGTCTGCCAGTATAGACAGTCTTTGGGTCTGTCTCCTTTGATCACATCAACATCAGTTCTTTTTAGGGCTTTCATATTTTATATGGTGCAAATAACCTAAAGCTCCCCCTTTGGGCATGCAGCAATGTGTTGTGGTTTACAGCAATATCTGAGTCTTCAGGCTCAACATATCCATTTTCAGCAGGAGAAAAGTAGGGGAGGGGGGAGTATGTCAATTCTTTCTCTCTCCAAATATGGAGCCTATAACCCCCATAGGAAACAACTGAAATAATCACCTGTTTTATACAAGCGTTCACTTCCCGTAAATAATCTGCTACTGACTGAGGTGTGTCTGAAATGCTTGGCTGGTCCAGTTTCGTTGCTTCTTTTTCTGCACTGTTTTCTGGTCTTCTGGGTTCCTCAAGTACCTCATCATCTCTGGACTCTTGTGGTGCTCCATCCATTACATGTTACAAGACTTCATCACACGTCTGATGATGAACAGTCTGCCCTGACAGCTGAAACAAACCAATCATTCTGTTCATGAAATGTGCCATGAAAAATATCATTTGAAAATGTTCACATGGGTAAGACATAAATATTTTTTTCTTGGCGCCTTCCCATCTTTCCAGACGACAGTGTTATACTGTGCTATGGGAAGGCACGGGACTCACAGCCCATGGCACCAGTGAGTGTGACTAGCAAGACCCGCCTGCATTAAGAAAAGTGTTCCACAATTAGAGCATGGTATTTTAGCGGACTCTGAATTTCAAATGTAAAGTTAAGGACCCTTTTCAAAGCACTGGTGGTTCAGGTATATGATACTAGACTCCTATTTTCACATCTTATTTGTTATATCCTGAACACTTTCACTACAGGGCGTCCCTATTTTCATACATAGGAAAAAGGGGCTGTTTTGAAACCACATTTTGATGGGTGTCCTCCACTGCTGAATAAAAGGTGCAAGCACAAGTGCAGTTATGCATGTAATGGTGTTGGTGATATATATATTTTTTCCTTTGTATGGAAACTTATGCAACACCCAGTATTAGAACCATGAATAGACTATAATTTAAAACATGTGCTACATCCACAATGAAGGTTGGTTACAGTGTAAATACTGCTGTCTTTATGAATTATGTGCCAAGGCCCAAATTTCTTTAACTGTGCAACTCTCACTTTACTGTCAGAAAACCACAAGGGCAAAATTTGTGTTTACCACCCACCGAAGAAACTGAGCCCCACTACTTGAGAATCATGAAATAGTTAAACACATCCACTAACTTCTAAGCCGCATAGACTACAACATGCATGACCAAATTCAGACAACATCCTCACACACCAGAAAAAAAAAAAGATCTAAAATCCCGATCCAGTTCATCAACACCTTATAAAGACAAACTACATGTTCACTCATGCAGGCAAATCATAAAAAAACTACATGACAACATTAATACTGTGCTATGGTTGCCTCAGAGTTGCAGGCATAATGCAAGAAGATTACAAAGACAAGTTCACAACACACTTCTTGTTCTCATCTTGGTCTTTTTTCATTAACTCTAAGTTATGTATTCCAGGCCCTTGAGATTGATTGCTGCAGATATCATCCACTCCCATTCATCTCTGTGATGGCTTTCTCATTGCCAGCTGGTGACTCCAAGTGTTTGCAGGTCTTCCTGTATGTTATCATTCCACGGTTCTTGGTCTTCCTCATGGTCTATTTCTATTTAACACTCTTGTGTATGCAGTTTTTGTCTAACCAGTGGTGAAAAACAGATTATAAATGTGATATTGCTTCTCACCCTCCATTCTCCACCGTTTGCATCTATTATGGGTATGAAGATTCACTGTAAGTTTGTCTTCAAAAGTTTGTAATAAGGCTTTGTTTCTTTAGCTTTACTCCAAGTATCAGAGCTCTTTAAATAATGATTAAAACATTCATACTCTACCCTACAGAGAAAAGAAAACTTAACAGTAAATAAGCCATTACAACCAGGGAAATGTGGATATACATAACTCATGGTAATACAGAAAAAAATCAAACATGGGTTTTGAAAGACTGGAGTTTGAACAAAGCCACTCAAACAATAGTTTGCACAATCTATTGTGTGGCAGATTTTACTGTACCTCATCAGGTACATACTGCAGTAACAATTGAATATAATAAAGCAAACAAATAAATCCTTCTAAATAAAATTTAAAATCATCTACACTTTTATGTAACTGCCTGTTTTACCAGGGTTACTGTGTCTTTTATATCTGAGAAATGCTGAAGACATTTAAACAGCAAGAGAAATAAAGTTACGGGTAAAGTCTGGCAATCAAGACACAAAGTTACTGGTATTGTCTGGCAGTCAAGACATAAAGTTATGGGTACTGTTTGGCATTCAAGACAAAGTTACTGGTATTGTCTGACAATCCAGATATAAAGGAAAGAAGTACAGAATAGAGAATACACCATAAAAATTCAAAGTTATGAAGGCTACGACAAATGATTAGATGGTCTCAATGAAAGAAAAAGTGTGCCTTAGTCAGTCATCTGTTTAGTTGCACACCATTTAAAGGATGATGCAAACCTGTCCCAGCAGTGGCTTTACCAGGTAATGTTTAGATATAATAGTTTGCCATTGCTTTCTTTCAAGTCTGGCATTCATAACATTGTTAAAAACAATGTTAAGCAGCCTGCTGCCAAATTTCACGCAGCTGACTTCAAATATAATGTGTCAGAATTATGAAACTGCATCCATAACCATAAACAGTCAAGCAGACACTCCCAAATATATGCTATATTAGCCCAAGCTAGGAGTTGAGTTGTTAAGTAAGTCTCAGTATTAAAAAAAAAAAAGATTTTTTGCAGCTAAAAATTAACCACACATTTATATTATTTCTCAACATAGTCTTCATTTTCGGTATTGTGACACCAGGTTCTTAATTCCAATGTCACAGAAGTCTGCGGCTAGTGTCTTGAACTATTCAGTAAATGCTTGACTGCAGTTCATCATCGGTTTAAAACCGCTGGGATGTCATTGATTTTTTAGACGCATGAAAAGGTGGTAATCACTTGGCGCCAGATCGGGGCTGTAGAGCAGTGGTCAACAATTTCCCACTGAAATGTTTGCAACAACTGAACAGTTCCATCTGCGACATGAGGTCAAGCACTTTCGCACAAAAAGCACAATCCCAGAGGACAGTAACCAACGTCACTTGTTTTGGATGGCATTCAATTTTGTGTATCTAAGGTTTCTTGTCATAAATAAATCGGTGAATGTAAAACTTCAAAAAATTTGACAGACAAAGCAGAAATTGTGAAACAATAATTTTCCAGAATTTTTTTGGTTCATTTCTTTGACCAGATCGTCGGTCACCACACTCGGCTGACCGCTACAATCTTCATCATGGATATTTGTTCGCCCTTCTTTAAACATTTGATACCATTTCTTAACCATACTATCAGTCATAACATCAATGAGTTGCCTGTGAATTTCCGCAGCACTTTTTTTGCACACATTATAAATCACTCCTACCCAGCATGAAACAAGATTTTGATTGTGAAAAAATAGCCCACAGCTAGATAATGAACCACATAAACATACTGCATATCATATTTACATTTTCCATCTGTGTTTGTCGCTGCGGTAAATACAGGACTTAATTTAATAATTAAATCGTAATATACACAAATGCCTACAGTTATGCAATATGTACAAATTATACAAACACAGATTGCGACATGATAACACAGCTTAATCTAAGTCCTAGGGGGCCTAACTGTCTACGCAGTTTTATCTTAACCTCGAGTGACGGCCTCTGGCATTGTTCCGGTATACTTATTTTCCCAGCCCTACATGCCTCACTAAATCATTAGCTTGACACTGACCTAGCTACCTCAAGATATAAAGATAAGTGACATTGTGTATTTGTGTAGTATTGTCTAATATATGTATGTACTGAGGAAGGCTCTATCTGCAACGTTCATGTTTTGTTTGTGACATTGTGAAGCTCGCTGATATACTTGTCGTTCAGTTTTATATCTTTCCCTGATAAATTCAGACAAAGCACTCACTGATCAAATAAACAGTGGAGGGTAATGAGGGATCTAGTACATGTCAAATATTTTAAGGAAGAGACCTGATTTGCTCATTCCAGTGTGATATACATAATACAATTATTGGGGAACAACTGAAGTAACTGAGACAGCATAAGATTTTCACACTTATGTTTCTCCATGTGAGAAGCAAAGATTAGAAGACATTATCCCTGAGTGACTTCAGGGGCCCCAATTGGGGGGGGGGGGGGGTTATATATACCCACTGCCTCCCCAACAAGCATGTCCTAAAAAAAGTGACCAATGAGTGCATCTGCCCGAGAGGTGATAAATCAACAGTATGCATACAAACAGGCAAAATTAGTTAAACACATGTGCATGCAAAGGTCAAGTTCTGGAACAAGACCAAAGCCAGAAGTGGACAAACAACCAGATCTTTTGACAAACAACCAGATCTGTCAGCAGCCAGCGACTACAGAAAAAGAAGTCAATAGAGAATACAAAACTTTAAATGCACACTGGCTACAGGTAGCAAGATTCACAGCTGCCACTTCCAAACCACCCATAAACACCTCGCTGCGAGTGAGAGAACAATTGTACCTGAATTCACAGCTAACCAGATGCCCCTAAAAAGGTTTTCTCCATTAATTAGTCTTCCTTAACTTCCTTTCCAAAATTGGATGCTTTAACCAAAAATGCACATTCTGCAACTTACTTGTAAACAGAATAGAGACAATGTAAACAGTCTCAATCTGATGACCTAAACAAACAAGTACAGCTGAAAGAGACAGACTCACATGAAAAAAAAAAAGCATATGCATACCTCCTCATTATTACTGTGAGCACACACAAAGAGTAAAGCAAACCACCGGCTTTAAATTGTACATTTCCCTGGAAAAAGTTGAGTAGGTTACTTCCTGGATGTGTGCAACATTCTTTACATTACACACACACACAAAAAATAGGTTCCTTGTTTTGTGTTTATTTTTATATATCTGAATACCTCATCATAATCATACAGATAGTCAAAGTCATGTCAGCTAAACTGTGTATATTTAATATATATTGCAAAACAATTATAACAGAGAGATGATTACTCTAATGAAGTATGACATCCCAGACTGCATTAAAAGTTTTAACTTAAACTTGTCATTATTATTCTCTGCTTTTTTAATCTGGCTATTTATGAATAAAGAAAGAGGCGTATATTATATATGAAATACTGGCAAGCAAACTTACCAGTGTAATTTAGCTTAGTTAGTACAACTGCTTATATTCACCACAGACGACAGGGTAATAATAGAATTATTTCATCAGTAATTAATTATCAAGTAGACTATGTTGACTTTAGTTCATTAAATAAAGATACAGAACTATTAATTAACTGAGGCACTTATTCAAATACTCAGAGCCCAACCA